TGATTAAAAGAAAATGCACACAGTGTTGATAAATACAAAATAAATCTTTATATAACACAATAATATAGAAGGATAAAAGGTGGAAGTTGAAGTTTCAAGAGTTCAAGTGTAAAAGTCCTGGCATATAAGAAAGATATAGATAAGTAAGTGTATGTGTATGTATATATGTATTTATTTATTCAAATATAGTAGCTGCCACTTGGCCACATAGTGAAGGAAGGTATGTTTGTTTTCAATGTAGCCAGAAGTGGTTTAACCATGTAAGATCACCAACTAGACATGTAAATATTGTATTTTGTCTCTGGGTATGTTATGATGACTGCAGCATTGCAGAATGGACAAAAATTAATATACCAATTCTGGTTTTGGTTAATTTTTCATTTGTTTATATACATATCTACAGAACCGTTTTGTAAAGGTTGCTCTACTTCTCATTGTCTCACACCCTATGTCCTGGTTGTGAAAGCTTTCTGATTGGTTAAACTATGACTTTGTTTGTCTGGTGATTTTCATTATCTATCTATGATGTAAAAGGATAATATGAAGACAAAAGGAAAACTTATCTTAGCCAATGTGTTTCATCCTCTGATAGATTTTATCAAGGCAAATGTAAGGATTTTATTTTTTAAGAAAAATAAAAATTTTAGTTTTTCAAAATTTTTAAGAAAATATTCATTAGTCTAACTGAAACAGTAAATTATGGAGGATGAGTAAATGATGTTGAATTTTTTTTTTAAATTAAAAAAATTTTGAAAAATATTTTTACTTTTGTTCATACATAAATACTTGTTGCAAAATAAAATCCTTACTGCAACAAGTATTTATATATAAACAAAATGGACTTTATCAAGGCAAAAACCATCAGAGGACAAAACGCTTCAGGTTTTTCTTTCTTTTTCTTTATATACATATATATATATATATATATATATATATATATATATATATATATATATATATATATATATATATGGGAGAAGAGGATGTACAAACTTTATATATCAACCTAATAGTTTGAAATTGAATGACAAAATGAAAAATATTATGCCTTTCATCCTTTGAAATGACTTCTTAGAAGGATGAATCATATAACAGGATTATTCTTATTTTGTCATCCAGTTACCTACCTATATATATATATATATATATATATATATATATATATGTGTGTGTGTGTGTTAAAATTCAGATACAAATAAAATATATCTGTAAAAAGACAATGTTTTTTACCAATGTGTTTTATCCATTGAGGGAAACATGTAAAGAAAAGTTTTCCTTTTGACTTTATTCACACACATATATATATATATATATATATATATATATATATATATATATATATATATATTCCTTGGATTATGGGTGGGTCACTTACCAAACTTTCCATTCAAAAAGCTGTTTTGGAATCCTGTTGTCACTAATACAAACAACATTACCAAGTCCAACACAACATATATCTCAGAATTGTTGCTTCAACACTGGCTTCGCTCAAGCACTTCTAGATTACCGAAGTGCATTTTCCAGCATTAATGATGAAAACACACAAGCTGCTTCAAGTGATAGTGATAGTGATGCTACACCATGAGAAATTGTTGAAAATTCCACTCTAGTCAGATGAACACTTACATTTAGATAAAGTCAGAGTTATCTACCCCTAGTTTCTTTGTTTTTATTGTTGTTATGAAGGCACACTGTTGTGTTGTCCCTAATAAATAAAATAAATCACCATGTGTGGTAACACTGTGCATCATGTGTTTGTTTCCTTCTTGAGTTTGTTCTGCTGTCTCGAATATGAAGTGTAGGAGAAAGAAAAAAAATAAAATAAATGATAAAGAGGGGGTCAAAAGTGCAGTGTGTCGCTCCCCAGCTATTTTTTTCTTCTTCTTCGGTTGCCTCAAGGAAATGGATTGCATGACTCCCTTTCTCACCCGTTACACTGGGCTTGTTGTGAAACAGACACCAACTCAGTTGCGCCTACTTTGACTTCCTCTTTGTCCATCTGTCAATCCGTACATCCAACTCTATTACACGCAGTCTGCCGAATGACTCTCTGACCTTTTTAGCCACCCCACCACATTGCCCTGGCCAGAATATGGTTTTATAACATTGCTGTTTATGCGAACATTCGCCATACCTGCCAAAAGAGCTTGTAGGAGAAAAAAAAAAAAATGATGATGAGGTGGGGTCAAAAAGTGCAGTGTGTTGCTCACTGGCAGGCCAGCTATTTTTTTTTCTTCTTCAGTCACCTCAAGGAAATGAATTGCATGACTCCCTTTCTCAGCCGTTATACTGGGCAGTTGTGAAACAGACACCAACTCAGCCGTGCCTACTTCGACTTCCTCTTTGTCCGTCTGTCAATCCATATGTCCAACTCTATTACACGCAGTCCGCCTTTTGACTCCCTGACCCTTGGTGCTGCTGGTATCTCGCTTTTTATGCTATTCCAAGATGGCCAAAATTTGCATGTGTGCAAATATTGTCTTGTTTTGGATGAGATAGGTGTGTGTAAATTGTGTCTTCAATAGGAGTCATATTTCTTTTTGTCATCACTTTGCAGGCAAGACACGTTTGCGCTCATTTCAAATTCTGAGGTAAGTCATGTCTTTCGTCACATGAAGTTCAATACCTGCATTCACACAAAACAAGGAATGTTTATGTTTGTTATCTTATTTGATGCATAAATTTCTAAGAGAGATCATGGGCCCAGAATATGCTGAACTTTAAGGACCTCATGTGGTCATACCAGCCATCTTGAATTTGCAGCACATGGAAGAGAATAACAAGCTGTAAAGTATAAAATTGAATATGGCAATGGAAACGAAGCTTATTAATTTTGTGCCATTGAATGGGGCTAATAACACCACTTGGAAAGCGCAATGCAAAATGACATTGATCAGAAATGATATATAGAACATATTTAATGCAACAGAGATTATTGCTGAACCCAAAAGAGATGCAAACTTGTACTCAAAATACTTGTTGCAGAAAGACTGTGGCTTGATGAATTATCATTTTTATATTTAATTGTGGACACTGACAATCCTGACATGGTGTGGAAAAAATTGGCAGACCAATTTCAAAAGAAAAGAAAAAATGGATACATCAAGTGTTTCAATATATTTATTAAAAATTGGTTTAAAAATAAAAAACAATTTTTGAATGATTGTAACAAATAAAACTGAAAAGCATTTGTTATTCTTTTTGCTTTAAAACTAGTTTTCATAAATACAAAATGGTTTCTTTTGTAACAAATGAAAAATTCTACTGAAAAAAAATTCTGTTAAGAAGCAAGAAATAAATTTTCTTCTTTGCTTATCAAATTTCAATGTTTACAACTGAAAGAAAGTAAAAGCAATTACAAACATTTATAAAAATGAATTATCTTAAAGGTATTTTCTTAATGCAAGATATGTTAAAAACTTGCAATCTATATCACGTCATCAACAACCAATCAAAAATGTGTTCATATGAAAAGAACAAATACAAATAATTTCTGAACACAATATAAAATGTTTAAAACATTTTATAGAGCAATATGATTTCTGTCTGAATTTCTGATATGAGCAGTTAGTCATTATTTATATTTAAACCAATTTCCTTATCTTTGTTGTTATTATCAAAACATTTCAGACATTGTACCCTCTGACCTTCTTCAGATGTTTGTCAATCTGGGTAATCTTCAGTGAATTTCAAACTGAACCCTTTATTTAATCTGTGAGAGTAGATTGTTCTTGTTCCACTGTCCATGTTAGATGCAGCTGAAACAAGGCAAGCAATAAATGAGCAATTCTAAAAAGAACAACATGGACAGCAGAATGAGAACAATTTATCTCCATAGTTTAAATAAAGGGTTCAATTCAAAGTTCCCTAAAGGTTACCTGAATCAACAGATGCCTAAAGAAGGTCAGAAGGCACAAGAACCAAAATGTTGTGATAATAATGACCAAGATAAGTTCATTAGTCCAAAATATAAATAATGTAAGTAGATCAAGGTAAGTTTTATTATTTATTGTCAATGATCATTATTCATTGTGAATGAGTATTTTACTTTCATCTTTTAGTTACAATAAAAAGTAGCTAAAAAGTAAAGATGAAAGTAACTACAAGTCAAAATCAATAGTGGCTGACAATAAAATAAAAAAATAATACTGTTGCTGGTAAATCTATTAAAATAAAAACTAAAACAAATATGGCACCAAGAGAGATCACAGAATACAATGATTAGTTATAGGTTAGATTTGGTCTTCAGCAAAGCTACATTTGTTGCAGCTTAGTGATTAAAGCAGCTGGTATATGAAACCAGACTTCCCTGAGGCAAAAATGGAGGTAAGATTGAATTTCAACTTCTGATTGTCTACTTATTGATTGAGGGCCTGAGTAAAATTGTGATAAAAGAAACTATAAAATTAATGAAAGTAAGTAAATACGAGATCAAAATTAACAGTAGTCATGTGTACATTATAAAGAATGGTTTTATTTTTATCCATTATTTTTAATTACTTCAAACATATTCTCTATAATGACCTTTTAAAGTAATATATATATATATATATATATATATATATTCCTTTATAAATAAGTGTATCTTATGTCTGGATGCAACTACCAATTTCATGTGCACTGAAACACACAATCATCAGGTGGCTGTCCTAAAACATGAAACTGGCAGTTGTGGTTCGTCATAAGAAATGCTTATAAAAGGAAATATTCAGGCTCAGTCATTAGACATGGAATACTATCATTTCTGTCTATTTTTCAAGTGGGTGAATTAAATCATTATATATATATATATATATATATATATATATATGGAACAAAGAATACATCATAAAAATGCATTGAGGTGCATGGTTTCATTGGAAGTTTTATATATATAAAATGCGCAAAAAATATAAGTTAATGGGAGGAAAAATGTATTTGTTGCATATATCATGGAGAAGTAGAATGAAATGTCATTGACCAAGAAATACTTTCTTGAGTACAGATAAAAAAAATTGGCTTTAATTGGGATTATAAAGCAGAACTGGTCCCAACCATTTCTCAACATCTTTAAGACTCATAGATTTTCGGCTGGCATAATCAACAACCTGCAGAAATAAAAACAATCTTGATAATCACTTTCTATCACAAATATTTATAAAATCCCACATAACAGAATTTTAGAATTTGTAAAATAAGACATTGCATAACACAAAAAATAAACAGAGACATGATGATTTATATTTTGATGACATCAAGATAAAGTTGTGTATTATACCCAGAGCTGGATTACCCTTTAGGCTATTATAGACTGCAGCCCAGGGACCCTCAAGCTTTTATAAAGCAATGATTTTAATTTTCTAGATGTTATAACTTCTAAATAGTTTCATAAACTGAAATGGTATCAAGATGACAAACTCCTATTTGACTTTGCAGGAAGCAAAGCAAAGAAATGAATGTTTTATTTTTGTGACATTGTGTTCCAAGTAGAAAATATGTTTGATTTATTTCAAGATGTTTAAATCTTGGAAATTTTTATAAAGCAATGATTTTAATATTCTAGATATCATAACGTCTAAATAGTTTCACAAACTGAAATGCCATTATGACAAACTCATATTTATTTTGATTGTTTTATTGTTATAAAGCGGGTTATAAAAAATATATTTTTCTTTTTACTATGGTTGTTTTGAAATATTTGCTAATTTGGTTTGCAATAAATAGTAAAATTGTGGTATTTCTTAAAAAATATTTTTTATTGACAAACAAAAGATAACTATTCTGGTTTATTTAAAGAATTTGGAATAATTTTACTTCATGCTATGTAAATGTTACTAAAATAGATCATGAGTAAAAAATATTCAAGGCAGATAAAGACAAATTAAAGGGTGGTTCTATCCGAGAGGGGGTCCCATAATTTCATTAGTCAAGGTCATAATTTGGTCCTGATTATACCAAATCATTTCATATTGTATGTGTGGGTATTTTTCTGTTGCATCTCACTTTTCTATAAAACAGGTGACTATGAGTTAAAATTTGGAAGTTTTACTTACCTGGTCTTTTGCCAATTTTCCAGTGGCAAAGTAAAGAGATTTGGGGTGAGAAAAATACAATCCAGACACAGAAGCTGCCGGTAACATTGCCAAAGATTGTGTAAGGTTTATGCCAATTCCAGATACATCAAGTAGTTTCCACATGGTCAGTTTCTCAGTATGATCTGGTTGGCAAGGGTACCCTGGAGCTGGGCGGATTCCCTGTAAATAAATATCAGGAAAAAATTTAAAACCTTAAAAGAGAATCTTTTATAGAACCTAATAATTTTTTTCATTTCAACCCAAGTAAGGTAATGTAGCCACTAAGACATGAAGGGTTACTGTGTGAAAGAATATGAGAAAAAGAAAACTTTATTAAAGAGAAGGAAAAATAAAAGAACAGGAATTAAGGCAGAAGATAGCTATTGAAATTGCATTTAAATTTTTGAAGATCAAAGTTGACTGGGAAGCAAGAAACTGGAAGAAAATTCCACAAATGAGAAGTGCAAGAGGAGAAACGAATAGCATTGAACTTAGGGTTACATCTTGACATTTCAACTATAAAATGATGAGACCTAACTGCCAATCTAGTACTGCTCTTAAATTCATAAAATTGAGAGACCAAAGAGGAAAGCTTATCAGAACAATTATCATAAAACTATTTATAGAAAAGTCACAAGGAAGCAACATTATAAATGTTCAATAACTCTGCCCAATCATGCTTTTCATTTGTATTAATATTTTGATGTAACATTTATACAGCATGATAATGATAAGTGAAGTTCATAAAATATCATTCTGAAAAAAGCAGGGTCAAGCTAAGTTGAGATTCAAGAAAATCATGGCTACGTGAATCATGATTTATATGCATGGTTCAAATTCACCTTTTAATTATTAACTCATATATCTACAATATGACGCCCCACCATTATATTTACAATATGGCCCCCATTACAAAGCAACCATTAACCACATTGTTACATTGTAACTGAATTCATGTAAGATCAGAGTTTTTCTTGTATTTTAATCCACATATAATGTATTCATTGTAAAAAGAAACATGTTCAGAGAAAGTTTCAACTGTATTCAACTTCTGAGTACAGATTTATTCTATGATGACAAAGCAGATTTACTTTTACATGCCAATTAAAATCTTGTTCTGAATTCATTTCATACAACGGCCAAAACATTGTAATAAATATGGCGACAAAGATGAGGACAATACTCCAAATAATGTAAATAATGTCATTTCATATTGTCCATCAAAAGTCATGACTTTCTGTTTTAATGATCATTGCAGCCGTAGTAATAATGTTTTTCATTTTTTTAGTTTCAAAAGATTCCATCTCTTCTTTTTTTAGAGGTTAAGTCTTTTGACATTGGGTTTACACATATGCATTCAGTGAGCAGAGAAAACCATATTGCTAAAATGGGGAATGAGCTTCCTAATGAAAATGTGAATACAAAAACACCCTTCTTAATGTAAATTACCACATTACTTAAATTGATTTGTCTGCCATAATAGACCTGGACTTTGGGCTGGCCACACTAACATATAAATGCCAATCTAAACCTTCACTACACACCAAGGCAATGTGCCAACTCAACCAGTCCCTTAACCCCACCAAAAAAGCTTAAGATACTCCCTGTCATACACCCACTTAGAAAGTGCCCTTATCCTGACATCAGAGGCTCACAGAAGAACTGGCACAAATGGAAACTGAAGGTATCATTAAGAAGGCCACAGGACCCACACATTAGATGAATTCCCTGGTACTTGTGGAAAAGGGGGATGACAAACTTAGAATTTGTCTGAATCCGTGAGACCTAAACAGAGTTATTCAATGGCCACATTAGCCCATGAGAACTCTGGAAGATACCCTTCCTCAGCAAAGGTCTTCACTAAACTTGATATATGGTGTGGATACTGGACCATTAAACAGTAAGTCCTCATACATCACAATATTTAATACTACATTTGGGAGGTACAGGTGTCTCTGCTTAACATTTGGGTTGAAGCCATTCCAGGATAAATTCTAGAGGAAATTAAAAGGATATTTTGAAAACATCCCAGGTATTGTTGCCCTGGGGGATAACATACTAATATATGGCAAAACCCACACTGAACATGACCAGTCCCTCATAGGTCATAGAACGAGCAAGACAAGTAGAGATTAAGTTATGTAAAGAAAAATTACACGTCACAGTCCCTAGAGTCAAGTACTTTCAGTGATATAAAATATGGCAATACCTAATAATAAAGCAGAATTAAAAACCATACTTGGGATGGTTAACTATTTATCAAAGTTTTCTCCCAACCCCATTATCACTATGGCTATCCCTACAACCATACATAACAAGAAGGGGGGGGCGGATATGCAGATCCAAACAAATAATGGACAGCTATGGTTGTATGATAGTTCCTTGTATATATGTTAAATAAATCTTGTTGATTCAGAATCATCATTTTATATTTAAAACACAACACATAATGTAACAAACACATCCTGACAAATTAGTTTTCTAATGTCTCACCTGGTACAGGTGAAAGTGAGCAGAAACTAGGTTATCTTTTAACATTCTTTTTCTCAGGCCACTTCCACCATAGCTTACAGAATTTTACATATTTGGCAAAATATTAGCCCAACAAACTTTTGGCTTCTAGTTCTTGTTGATAGGGCAAACAATGGGTGAGCAAACATTTGTTCCACTTGAAGAATTCATACATCTGCTACTAGGATGCTGACCTTGTGTCCCTTGCTGAACTTGTGCAGCCTTTTGCTTATTAAAATATAGCAGATCATCTGTCATTTTCCCAAAGCGATCTGTTTCTAGATTAATTTGGAATGCTATCACTGGCTTGATGGAAAGCAGTAGTGCCTGAATGTCAAACAATATCCTCACCAACTCCAATGCAACTGGTTAGTGATATAAGTTCATTTAGATATAATGAAGGACAAGCATCTCTGATTTCGATTTTTTATGTGAGCTTATTACGGTTTCTTTTAGTCTTTCATATTTAGTCATTGATTGGAACATGGCTGGTTGCAATTTTCCAATTTTCTGGAGGAAACAATGCCAGAATGTTGTCAAATATTTACCATGCTACACTGGACCACCATAATGGAAAAATGACGTTAACACATCAGATTCAATGAAAGCAGGTGGCTTGATAGATACAGCCTATATTGAATGACTGTTGTGATGCATCTAGTGTGGTAGTCTGTAGTGGTAGTGCTTGTCGCTTCGTTTACCGCCGCAGCAACGCCATAAGAGTAGCCGAGTGCTTAAGTCTTCTCCTGCCAGTATATAGCCTCTCCATCAGCAAGCCCTATGTAGTGCCTCCTCGTGGTGACACACAGCAACCGAGCACCTTGTGGACTTGGGCTAAACTACAGGGGACAGGGGAGGAGTTTGGCTCCCTTAACATGCGGCATGCAGGTCCACCAGTTTGTGGACACGCCCTGGTGCCCATGAACCAAACCCCAGCTATGGGTTAAATAGCTCCACTGCCTTGTGGAAATCTTCGGGAGAAGAAAAGGCTAAGGAGTAAACCCTACACAAATCTGGAGTGGAGCCCCTAAGGCAGATGAACGGCACTTTGTGCTACCTTCCAGCAACTCTTGCAGTCGCACTGGTACCAAACTGTATTGGTTCATCCTCTCCTTTGGACTCTGCTAGCATGGACGGGAGGGGGGGAACTAGACGTCTGAGCAGCCCTAGTTCTCCATACAACCCGCCCAGGCTCGTAGCACACCTATACTACTCCATCGTCTCTCGAGATGGACGGATGCTGAACAAACAATATTGAACAGTGTTGGCTGGAGAGCATCTATTCAAGTTCACTGTCGAATATTGTGTCATTTTTTTTTTTTATATGCATCTGGTACATCAGAATTTAACACTTTGTGTAGGTTATCTTTGTGGACACATACAGGAGAGAATGAAGGAAAGAATGTAATTTCTATATATGTGTATATGCATACAAATGTAGCAGCCACTGCTTGACCATGTGTTGAAGGAAGGTACGTTCATTTTCAATGTAGCAAAAGGAGGGGGGGGGGGTTAGCAAAATGCATTAACTTTTGTGTGTGTGTGTGTCCAGAATAAGCCACAACAGTTTCTTTTTTGCATTAAACTTTTTATAATTCCCCACTCATGTCATGTGTGCCCTTTTTCTCCAATATTAACTCTGAGAAATGAAGTTTTAGTTGTGACAGAAGGAAAAGGAAGTAGTGGAGAGTCACAATTCAATATAAATAAACACAAAAACAATGCCCAAATACAGATCAAATTCAGTAAAAAAAAAATTAAATCGATTTGTTAAGAAGGTTTATCAATATATACTAAGTTTAATCTCAAATTTTGGGCACTCAATGAGGATTAAAATCACTGCAAATAGTTTGCTATGCTTGCTCATTAACCATTACACCACTGCAAAGCACCCAAAAGAAGTTTCTTGTCAAATTAGCAAGCAATAATAGCAAATAACTATCAAAAAATAATATAATCTCCAAGTGATAAGCTGTGATCCATCTTAAAATGAAAATTTCATGCAAGTGAAAAAGGGAAAAAGAACTGTTTACCGTGTATTTGATTCTATGCAAGTCTTTAGCATCAAGATTTTCTTCTTTTGAATAACCCCATAACATCTTACGAACATATTCATGAAGATACTCAGCAAAGGCCTACAAAAAAAGATATATTTACAAATGGATGAGGTCTGTCTGGATGTGATCCAAATATTTAATATAAGCAAAAAATAGCTTACCATAAATCCTTCAAAGTATTTCTCTTGGGACAATTTACTTACCTGAGCATGCCATCCACTTTTCAAGACAGTTTAGAATGGCATCACACTCCCCCATTCACCACATCCTGTCTCAAATCTTTTCTCTTTCAAAATTAATTTTTAGTTCCAAGAAAATTAAAAAATCACAGAAAGTCAAACATGGATTGTCTTAGAGTGATACACTGATGGAATGTTTTGACAAAATTCCTTGCACTAGATGTGAAGATGAGGATTAAGGCTTTAAAAATAGACATTTTGAAAGTATACATTAATATCTACAAATATATTAAAACAATAGGTGAGGAACAGTAAGGATAAGAAAAAGAATTATTCCTCACTGTAAATTGCTGAATCAAAAAGACACTTTTTATATTAAGCAGAAGGAATAGTTGCTGGCTCTAAATGTAATCTGTTTGTGATCTATATTATTGATTCTCTGGTAATATTTTTTTTCCTCTTTTTTTTAGTCATGTCATCATTCACATATTTATATGTTTTGCGCTCAACTGAGCACTGTGAAGTGAGGCATGATAACTGGTTAGTCATTTTTTATTGGTTCCAATCTGTGGGAATGATTGCAAAATACATATCCCTCCCAAATTTATAGGCAGAATCACACAAATGCATGCTGAGAATACTTCCTAGTTAATAAGATAGGTCAGTTCTCGGTTTTATCTGACTCAGTCCCAGTCTGTCTTGTCTCGTTTTGAAGCCAGAATTCTACTTTTGTTTATTTGAATTTGCGCTTGTGTGTCAACACCAGTTCTTAGTTTGTGAACTTTTTATTGCTTTGTCTTGCATATATTGTTTGCTTGCTCAACATTATTTTTTTGTCCTGTTCTTTTCTTTTCATTGTTTATTACAAACTTTGTCAGATTTATTTTTTGGCCAGTTCTGCCATTTCCATTTAACCGTAGCCACACACTCTACATTTTTGTTTTCTTTTTATTTCTATTTAGTTATAATTTTCAATTTACCATTTTACAGTGAATAATAATATTTTTCATTCAGTTTGCTCTCCCTCTCTTTTGTTTTAATATATATAATACCATAATAAAATGAACATGCCAGATATTATTTAAGTTGAAATATTCAAAATAGCTGGATACTTTCTGCACAGTCAATGGAATAACAAAATGTATTTTAATTCTGGCACTATTAAGTGTCAATTTTCTCTGATTACAACACAAATGCATTCAACATTTTCATGTATTCTGCTTCTTGAAGGCCTTCAGGAATTTGAATTGCTTTCAATGGAGTCCCAGTTAAGTTTAAGGTGTAGCTACCAAATTTTATGCAGACTTCATTCATTGAGCCATCCCTGAATGATTGAATCATTCAAATAATTTCCAGCTTTCAAACAATCACATGCAACAATCACAAAAGTAAACTCAATGACATCTGTCAACTAAGCTACCACATGAGAGAATGTTTGTTAATACATGTGACTAGTTATGTTATAAATGCATGTATAGTAGCACGGAAAAATAAACAAAACAGCAGTTCCACAAGTAACAAAAAAGAAAATAAAGATGAGAATTGTAAATATAAAATTCTTATGTATGGCCAATACAGTGGATTGTCTCTAATGTAGGCAAGGGAGGTAACTTTTGAAGGGTAAAGATGATAATGTATGGAGTTGCTGTGTTTGTTGGGTTGATTGAGCAAAATCATGGTAGTGATGTTGAGAGAGGCCTGGAGTGGATTAGTGAAGGTTGCTGTTCACTGTGAATCTGTCCCAATCATTTATGAGTGGCTTTCTTAAAAGCAAGTTGTAGTAACTCCTGGACTCATCCTTTATTCATGTTTTTTCTTTGGTAGTAACATTCATGATTGGCTTATTTTATTATTTTCTATTTTGTGAGAAGATTTGTTTTGTGAGTCGAATGTGATGATCAGAGCCCTTGTGCAGAGGTCAACCTTTTAATTTTGGGTTTTGCTTTCTTGGCATTGGCTGACATGTGGAATGAATCAGATTGACATCTAATTTGAAGTAGAGTAAAATGGTTTGTTTGTTATAATGGTTGTTGGTTCAAGACTGCACAAAATATTCAATATACATATAAGATACTCAAAATATATTAAATATGATATAAGGTATTCAAAATATATGAGATAAAATATGCAATATATATGAGCATTGGTAAGGCTTGTTCTAATTTTAAAAGCATTAGCCATTTTTTGATGAGTTGCTTATCTATAAACCATAAAGTGTTTCAAGACAAAGGGGAAAAATTATGGAGATGTTTTCAATTCAGTATCTGTCTATATTTCTGAGATGAGGTATTATGTACACTATTTACATTATTCGGACTATTGTCCTCATCTTTGTCGCCATATTTATTACTGTGTTTCAGCCTTTCAGTATCTGTCTATATTTCTGAGATGAGGTATTATGTACACTATTTACATTATTCCGACTATTGTCCTCATATTTGTCTTCAAGGACACATGACACAGTGGATAAAGATGTGAGTTAGATCCAGTGACAGGACCCAAAGATTGTGAGTTCAATACCCAGTTAATGCATTGGAGAACTTGGAGAGGGGAATTAACAGGTGATAACTGATAACTGATTAAAACATGGCACATGGAACAATAACAGTCTACCCCAGTGAGCGAAATAAAGGGTTCAGTTTGACATTTAGACCACCTGAAGAAGGCTGGAATGTACAACGGCCGAATCGTTGTAATAAATATGGCGACAAAGATGAGGACAATAGTCCGAATAATGTAAATAATGTCTTCTCTTTAGCTACCCATAATCCTTTTACAAAATGGCCGACCCTATGGACAGTTTCAAATATTCATAGGAGGTTAGTGAATGTTTATAGAAAATCTGTGCTTGATGAAAGAACAGTAACAAGATAGGCCAGTAGAGTTAATGGCAACACTAAAAGGAAAAAGGAAACTGACCTGGCATCTCAACTTCAGTCACTTTCCCTCCAATATGACATGGCTTCCCTCTGTCTTTTCTATAAATATTTTCATAACAATTGTTTTGATGTACTTTCCTCCTTGGTTCCTTGACTGCATGAATTTAAACATACTACTAGGTTGGCAACTAGGTCTCATCGTTTTACTGTTGAATTAGCCAGGTGTACCAATAAGTTCTTTTCTAATAAGTTTTCTTTTTTCTCACCTGTGGAATTCCCTTTCCAGTTTCTTGCTTTCCTGCCACCTACAATCTTCAAAAATTCAAATGTCAATCACCATCTTCTGTCTTCCAGAGTCCTGTTCTTTTATTATCCTCTCTCCTCCAGTCTTCTTATTCTTTTCCATTACCCAGTAACCCCTTACATCTTAGTGGCATTATTACCTTGCTTGGGGTGAAATGATTAAAAAAAATGTCATATATTCATAAACTGAATTTATGTGTCTATGAATTAAGATAAATAGGCTGAAACAAGGTCACCTGAAATTGTACATTTTTCATTTAAATTTTTTAGTAGATAAGAGACAGTAGCTGAATAAAGATCAATATATATGCATATAATTGATTAACAAGCATGATTTTCAGTGAACAAATTACTCTACTATAAGTAGATTTGTAAATCTTGTATAATAAATTTCATTGTTACTTATAATCTTTTCATGTATATGTGTGATGTTATATAGAAATAACCAAAGATTTCTGTCTATATCTCTAAGATAAGGTATTATGATTACTTACATTATTTACATTATTTGGACTGTTATCCTCATCTTAACTGCCATATTCACAACATTTCAGCCATTGTATGCTCAGGCCTTCTTCAGGTGATTGGAATTTCAAACCGAACCCTTTATTTCAATCACTTGGAGATTTGAGTTAAAGGAAAATAACAGAGACATCCAAAAGAGGCATGGCACGTGGAACTAGAACAATCTACCACAGTGGATGAAATAAAGGGTTCGGTTCAAAATTCCAATCACCTGAAGAAGGCTGGAGTGTACAATGGTCAAAATGTTGTGAGTAAGGCAATGAAGATGAGGATAACAGTCCGAATAATGTAAATAATCCAAGTAACCAAAAATTTGTTTTACTTTCACTTAATAAATAAGGTCTCAGTTGAAACTATAAATTTTACACCAAATTTATAATTAAACAATTAGTTTTTCTATTTTTACCTCTGTCAGCCTGTCTGCCAATGCCTTCATCATGATTACACTGTAGTCATCATACTGTTTTTCAAACCTTAAAAGAAAACAAAAAATAAAAAGCACTTTCACTCACATTTCTTTTCCATTAATTCTATTTTTGTAGCCATTAACAAACTCTTTTCTTACCAAATAATTATGCTTTCTTCATTTCAAATTGATTTTTATCGCTTCCTATTTTTCCATAGCCAGAAGTAAATGTCTAAGCTAATAATTGATAATATCAGATCAACATCGATCGATTGCCAGTTGATAAGCAATCACAAAATTAGAAAAGAAGATGGAAAAAAAAAAGGTATTTTACAAAACTCCAAAATTAATGATGACATTTACTTGGTCTAATTTTCGGGACACCTACCTTTTACAACCTTAAAATCTATGTTATTTCATAAGAAACTACAACTGGCATCAATTTTGCCTAAAGTTTGACTATTCTTGCACAATTTCACACATCAATTGTTTACTTATTAATCAATTTGTAAGTCTATGATATCGTTTAACACTGCAAAATGACAAATAGTTATATTCTACACTTAGATTAATCTGAAACAAAGTGAAATCATGAGAGATGGAAAGAAAATATTTGTGCTGAACCAATCTTGAAAATCGGTATCCAAATATTATTTCAAATCCATATTCTTCACTGATGGCAATAGACTGGATAGTTGCAATGAAAGGCAATTAAAATTAAGATGAACAAAATAGGTGATGATGGCTCTCCACAGCTTCTTGTCTTCTGTTGCATCCCACTCTGTAGTACTTGCTTCTCCATCTATTTGCTTGTCAAGTAGGCAACACTGCTTTATTTGCCTTTGATGCATCTTTTGTGAGGGTTAAGTTTTGATAAAAGTAATTTCTTTCTTTTTAATTCTATGTACCTTCATGACATAGGCGATCATGGCTCTCCACAAATTCATTTTTTTTTTTATTGTCTGTGAATTGCCATGATTTGTCAGAGAACACTCTTCTATGATAACATTGAAAATTTTCAGTAAGATAAAACACACTGCACAAGAGTTACAGGAACATGAAGAACTGTGTCACTGTGTTACACTGGCTACCAAAGTGTCCCCAAGACCTCAATCTCATATGTAAAGTTGACTTAACTTTCCCCGAGTCCAAGACTGGCCGTATTTATACACCGCCAGTGAAGACCGGTGTTTTTCCCATCCCCGGGACCGTCTCACCAATCATCCTTCTTCTCTACATGTCCCTCACCCTCCTATGACCGCAATACCTATGTTTTGTGGTCACCTGTCGCAATAATTCCGAGTAGTCGTGAGTTGGTCCTGGCATTTGTAGGGATAGTGGTCTTGGTGGCCGTGTTACCTTCATGCTGTGTCGTGGGGTCAGACCTGCTGGTGTATAGCTGATTGGCTGTTGGTTCTCTTCCACCTCCATCTCTGCGTTGTCTGCCATCACTACGTCATCGTCCATTGCCTCTACGTTCATTATTTCAGGTATGTCATACAGAGATTTGCTGTCCTTTGGCTTTGGCCTTTGGGGAGGTGGTTGAGAGTGTGGGTGATCGGGTGAATAGTCTGCCGTATCTGCAACTGGCAAGATCTTCCGGAGGAAATGACGATTATGTAGTGTAATTCTGCCGCTTCCGTCTAACCGTATCCGGTATTGCCTGTTGCCCATAGTTTCAACAACTCTCTCTGTTTTTGTCCACCGTCGTGGATATGGTCCCTCTTGATTTTGCACTCGCACTGATTCGCCAACCTGAAGCTCTGGGAGTGGTCAGCAGTGAGTGTTGTATTGTTCTTGATTTAACACATACCTTTTCGCCATCGCCCTCTCTCTCAATTCCTTGGTTTTCATCCAGTGTTTATGAATCTGGTGCTTCTCGCAAAGTATGGGGAGGTGATCCTTTATTGCTTGACCATATAACATCTCTGCTGGTGACAACCCGAAGTCCTGGCGGAGTGTATTCCTATGTGTCATCATGGTTAGCGTCACCTGATCGTGGCGTAGGTGGCCATAACCATCAAAGCAGTCTATCAGCATTCTTTTAGCTGTTTTTACGGCCAGCTCAGCCCGGCCATTACTCTGGGGATATGCATTACTTTAAACCCCAGTCTCCCAGGAATGACTTATATTCTAGCAAGTCGAATGGTGGCCCTCCATCTGATGATATCTCCTCCGGTGCACCATATGTACAGAACCAGCCCCTCAATGCGTCATATACTGCTGCAGCCTTCCCTGATGGTAGCAGGGCCACTTCAATCCAGCTGGTATATCGGTCTGCGTATACCATATAACTCTTCCTATGCATGTCAAATAGATCTGTGACTGTCTTTTGAAATGTGAATTCTGGGTTTGCGGGTGGCATTAGTGATTTTCTCGACTGGGACAGGGCAACAGAATTACATCTTCGGCATTGCGCCCTTGTTTGTTGAATGCTGGTGTCTAAACTGGGCCAAAATAATCGTTGTCTAGCGTTAGCCAACATCCCATTCACACCTTGATGAGCAGTGTGCAGTGCCTCCAGTACCTCAGCTCTAAGCTGCTTTGGTATCAGAATTTTGTCCGCCTTTATGGGTACCCTCTCCAAACAATATAATTTGTCTGCCATCGGCCAGAATTGTCGGACTTTCGGCAGTAGTTCATGGCGTGACTCCGGGAATCCATCCTGTATGTATGTTGCTAACATTCAACATTCCTAGTCGTGGCTGCAGCCACCACAATTCTATCCCAGCTTGTCGTGCATAGTTTCAGATCATGCGCATATGCGGCTATGATCGATGCTTGCATGGCCCCCTCGATCTGCTTGATTGTGTCGATTGTCTTTGATCTGCAGTGTACTGGTGGTGTCGGGTATCTAGAGGTGCAGTCAGGTGTGGCGTTAAGTTTCCCTGGAACATGTTTAATTTGAAACCTGTACATTAACGACTGTTCTTTGAATGTAAATAAACGAGGATTCTTTATGTTTTCAAGGACCTGATCTGAGAATATTTTCACAAGTGGTTGGTGGTCCACCGTAACCAGTAAATCTGGGCATCCCAGTAAAAGCATCCTGCAAGATTCCAATCCATATATCAATGCCAGGGCCTTCCCCTCTATAGGAGAGTAGTGAGACTCTGCATCCTTTGTAAACCGGGAGCTGGCCAAAATTATTTTCCAGTGGTCCCTACCGCAGTTTGGTCCATCCTCTGTTGGGCATTGGCAGTGTCTCTGAAAGAGAAAGTACCCGATGCCAGTTTTACCATAATCGGTTGAGAGGCATGTCGCCCTGTTCATCTTGAATGTTTTTACTCCCTCAATCTTCCGAACGATGTTTCTCTTTGACTCCTCGAAAAGATTCTTTAAGGTACCATCCCAATAGAATTTGCAGTTCTTTGTGTGTAATAATTCTTGAAAGGGGGCCATGACCTTGGGTTGTGAAAATGCATACGATACCTGGTTAACCAGTCCAAACCAGGATCTGACACCAGTGATATTCGTTGGGGTCGGGAAGTTCAGAATGGCCTCAGTCATTTTTTTGGTTGGTTTAACGCCGTCATCCATTATTAAAAAGCAGGCAAATTCGACTTTGTCGCCTGCAAATTGGAATTTCTCAGGATTGAAGATGATTCCATTTCTGCCGCAATGGGTGATATAGTCCGATTCCATGGTTTCATCCCAGAGAAGTGTGTCGTCGATGCAACGAGTCTTTCGAGGCATGTCTACTGTAATGTCATCAAACCAGCTGGTGTATCCATCCCCTGATGCGTGGAAACCTTGGGGTGCTCTAAGGTACCAATAACGTCCCCATTCTGTTATGAAGGTAGTTGTGTCTCGGGCCTTTGTGGAGAGCGGTAAAATGTGGTACCCATTCCATGCCTCTAGTACTGTCTTCTTAGTTCGAGCGGTCGTGACGGAGACCTGGTTAAACGGGGATAGAGTGAGATGGGTTTCCATCATCTTTGTGGCATTCAATTCCTGCAAGTCCACTTCTAGGGGACCCATCCTTCTTTGGTGTTCTAGGATGGTGGTTGCACCAAACTGTAGGTGTGCCTGCCGGCAACAGTTTAATGATGCCCAGTGCAACATCCCTATCCAAGTCCTCTTTCACCTTCTTTTTTCAATGATGGGGGACTGGAATGGGTGTGTGTACAGATGATGGTTTCACTCCCCGGGCGAACGTTATGTCCAGTGGCCTCCCTGTCATCACTTGTAACGGCTGATGGGGACAAGTGTTGAACGCACCAGATTTGAAGTGCTCCCATAACCATTGTTCTAGGCATTCCCGATTACTTGCAATACGGGCAAACGGGACCCTCACAGGTTTACTCGGGACCGTCTCTCTTCGGGGACACCCACATAGTGCTATCCTGTTATCCACGATCAACGCATCAGTTTTCGACATCTGATTTGGGAAGCCACGAGGGATTAGTTCTATTTCTTTCAATGCTGACTCTGACAAGTAAAATGCCGACGTGTTAAGTCTTTCTCAAAGTCAACTAATTCTTTGTGTTGTGGGGGACATTTTTTGGTTTTAAAGCCATATTTTTCCTTGAGTGTGGTGTTATTATTAAGTTCCTGGTTTAAAAAGAAATGGGCTTTCTATCTTATTCAAAATTTCATAAAAAGAATAAGATGGAAAGCCCATTTCTATAGACATACATATGCACAGGTTAGAGACAGATGTCCTAAGAATCTGTACATACTCTAATCCATACTAAATTCACAAAATATGCACACTTTAGTTGATAATGCCTACAGTCTTTACTTAATTTTTCACATCTTCAGTACCAATTCAGTACATCTTTTTGCTGATCAAACCTATGTTAACTATTATTATCCATTTGTAAGTCAAATTTCCCCCTCAAATAGAAACAGAATTGCATGCATTTTTCAAACCCACAGTGTATGCAAATGTGTCTACGTACTGTTGACATAAAACATCAGCACCTAATCCTGCTGTGACTGCAAAAAGTCCAATGTGATCTTCTAAATTACTATCCTTTGGAGCAATAAAATCAGAAATGCAATAATAAGGTTGTTGGTAATTCACTATCTTCTTAGCCTGCAATAAAAGCAAAGTGAAAAAAAAGTATTTAATTCAACAGAATTTCTAATAATTGATCAAGAAAACCAAGCATTCAAATTCAGAATATTCAATAATATCTGCTCATTCTTTGAAATATAATCTAAGAAACTGATCATTCTGAGACAATAATGCAATTTTTAAATATTAATTTTATTTTTCCAAATTTTATACCACTAGAAGGAAAATATGATTCATCAACCAAATGAAAATCTTTTCCAATACCAATCCATCAATATTCATGATGGATTGGTTCCAGGAACCTCCTTAACAGATACCAAAATTCATAGATTCTCAAGTCCTTTATCTATAAACAGATGTAATATTTGCCAACATACATCATCCTATGCACTTCAAATCATTTCTAGATTAACTATAATGTCTAATAAAATGTAAATTCTATGTAAATAATTGTTGTACTGTAAACATGAACTAAAACTTTTGACAGGAAATGTATGCAAAACTATGAAAGCTGTATATGATCTACACTCTTAGATATGAACAAAAACATAGCATATATTTTGACCATTACTAAATAGTAAACATTGGGTTTTATATCAATAGATAATGATTTTTGTTCATATTTTTGTGTAGATGCAATTCAAGAAATAAAATCCAACACCAAACTTAAATCCAAAAATTGTGTTCTTTCTTTCTTGTACAATTCAGATGATTAACTAAATAATAACAAGTAAAACAATTATATAACAAACATTTCAATGAAATCACACAAGGTAAAATAGAGAAGGTTTCACACAAGAAACAGTTTAAATAAAAAATATGAAAACTATAATGTATCAATAATCGTGTTTGTAAAGGGGACAAGTAAATGAACCAGTGATAATTTGTCACCAATTATATGATCATCAATTTCATGCAAAATTGATTTATCAATAGGAAAATTTGTCTCTGCTATAATTCACTTATACTTTTTGGTTAAACAATACACATAAAAATAAGTGCAGTAAAAAAGCATAAAGAAAAGTCTATGTACACAAAATAAATAAACATAATGCTGATGGATCTGCCATTAGATTGTGAAAATCAAACACACAAGGCTATATGGCAACCAAACAAATGACATGAAAAATTTAAGAAGATTGGATGACATAATGTTCTGCTTTAACAAGAATTACTACATTCTCATAAAGAATTTATGCAAGAAGAAGAAACACTCCAATCAGTGACATGCAGAGGTTTGGTGATCCCCGGGGCCAGCTCCTTGATTGTATGCCGCTAAGACTCAAGTAGGAGTGTGTGTGTGTGGGGGGGGGTCCTATATGACTAACTACTGAGAAATGTGAGATAGGAAGACATTTTAAATATGTTAAAATAGATGAAACATGAAATAAATACTTTATTCAAATTAAGTATAAACTAAATTTTTATTTCACTCTTTTATATGGATGCCCTCCCAATATGGATGCCCTCCCAATATGGATGCCCTCCCAATATGGATGCCCGGGGGGTCAGTCACACCCTCTGCACCCCACAGACTCCACTGTAGAAAACTACAAAGATATGAACAAATTCATATATAAAAATGATATTTTTAAATATTTGCACATAATTTCAAACTTGAATATTTTCAATATAACATATTAAACTTTAGATTTTGTTTAATTTTGAACATTTCTGAAAATTTAATAAAGTTTTGAAAATCTGAATTTTATTTCCTACCTTTTTTTATTTTTACTCTCATTGTCTTGTCAATGAACTGGCTGGTGATCAACTGACTGTATGTCTATGTAAGTTGTAATTTTTATATCCTAATTATTCCAATAAGACATTTTCAAGGTTGTATAGATCATATAAAGGATCTAATAAAGTTTTATAGGCTCATGTTCTTTTTTCTTACTATTTTTCATTTAATCATAATCATAGGTTGTTTAACCAAAATAATACTTCACAAATATAGCCTAGGTTGTACCATTTACTAATAATTTTACTAATTACTGCTGAAATTGGGGTGCATCTTATACACCTATGTGTCTTATATTTCATCATATACAGTATTTACACTATTTACATCATTTGAACTGTTGTCTTCATCTTTATTGCCATATTCATGATGTTTCAGCAATTGTACACTCTGACCTTATTCAGGTGATATACGTTGGAATTTCAAACCGAACCCTTTATTTCACCCACAAGGGTAGAGTGTTCTAATTCCACATGCCATGCCTTTTTGGATATCTCAGTTTCAGTTAATTTCTTGAATACAATATGGGAACCAGTAATATGGAGAGCTAGAGAAATCAAAAGAAGGACTTAACCCAAAGAGTTGTGAGTTCAATACCTGGCCACAGCAGAGAGAACAAAAAACAATCTGGAGAGTTGAGTTACTAAAGGGAATTAACTGAAACTGAGATATCTAAAAAGGCATGGCATGTGGAATTAGAACACTCTACCTCCATGGACTAAATAAAGGCTTCGGTTCAAAATTTAAACATATATCACCTGAAGAAGGCCAGACTGTACAATGGCCGAAACGCAGTAAATATGGTAATAAAGATGAGGATATCAGTCTGAATGATGTAAATAGTTAAAAACAGTTGCACATTATCACAAATTTGAATATCTCAATATCCAATGTATTGAATTTTAGTGTGTGTGTGTGTGTGTGTGTGTTTTAGCATTTTGAACATTTGTTGCAGTTGAATAAAGCAGGCTTTTATTTCTTTATTTATTCATCCTTTCATGGTGACAGATTATCCAGTCAACAAACTGAAAACCAACTAAATAATAATGAATATACTGATCTTCAAATCAAAGCATCCATCCCGACTTCTGTGATTAGAATGTCTCACCTGTTGGCGTAATCCATAAAGTTTTGTGAGCAACTCTCCATTGTTGTCGTATAACTCAATATCATCTCCTACAGAGTTGGCTCGATAAAAAGACACAACACCATTTGCTTGCAATAGTTTCCCAGAAATAATTTTATTCAGCATTTTCTGGGCATCTGCAAACACTTTTTCAGCCTCACTTCCTTTAAATAAATGTTAAAGAAAATTAAGATTTAAAAAAACAATATATATTTAAAAAGTTTTAAACCACTGAATTACCATAAAAAAAAAAAAAGAAATCATTTAGTGCCTTAAATTCCAGTTCTCTTGAATAATTTATCATCAGTCTTTTGTTTAACCAATGATTACAGTGTCTTTTTAGTTTCTTATAATCTATATATAAAAAAACAATTTTTTTACTGGCTGTAAAATTGCATCCATATTGACAAAAATTTAAGAAAAATATGTGAGAGGTATTTTACAAAAAAAAAATTACAGATTAGTGATTTTTTTGTTGTTTTTCTTTTTTAGAGTTACACAGATCAAAGAGAATCTTAGTGGATTTAAAACATCATTTTGCCTTTTCAGCTGAGATTGCATTACCCATTTGATGTCTTATCCTTGTCAACTGATTAGTCTAAGAGGATTAAGAACATAGAAGTGATTTCTCCTTTGATGATGTGAACAGAAAGATTGATATAAAGTGAGATTTTAATTTATATTATTTCATTAGTGTTTTAATAGGATCCTTAATTCCCTAAATGAATAAAAAGTCATATTGAAAGTTGGATGTTTTCAATGGTTTTATCCTTCTTTTTGGGGGGTTGCCTCCAAGTAAAGACAGTGACGTTGAAATGACTGTGCCAAATAGTCCAATTATTTTTCTGATGCCAATTCAGCCACACTGAATCAGCTACGCCAAAATGTGCCAGACCCCACAAAACTATACTTCCTCTCTTCTTGTATTGTCATTAATTATATAACAATATATATGTAACATTCCTGCATGTGTTAAAATTTATTCCTTTTGAAAAGGTATTCAATTTATTCAAAAGTTCTCAACTTTATCCATTACAAACTCTAGCTCAATACATCTACATATTTCCCCAAAAGCTAAAACTGCCATTGAAAAAGAGGAGATTTTGAACTGTGGACACATTTAAGGAGAGCATAACAAGGAGAACTTTCTAGTGATAGAAAAATATATAAATAAAACTAAAAAAAAAATTTAATTTTTACTCAGACGCTATAGACTATCAGTAATTGTACCGAGCTTAATTTTGAATATGTTGCCCATTACGATGGATGATTCCAGAACTTGTTTGAATGCTGTATCATCTCCTATTCTGGTGATCAGTTGTTGTCATGATCCCTGTAGTGTTGCAATATTTTTCATGAACAGTTTTTACTCTCCCCCAATTGCATATTTTGAGTGTCTTGGTCCCATGTTTTCTGTTATAATTCTTTTTTTATCCGACTTTTCACCGAAGAATCTGCCTCCCTGATTTGTTCCAGGTCAGGCCATTTCAGATTTAGTCTGTTTGGTTGGTTTGGCAGTACCTTATTTTCCTACCCATGATCAAATCTACAGCACTTGCTTTTATAGTCAATATCAGTGTTCTATGGTATATGCCATTAGAGCCAAGAAAGTATCTGTTCATTGTGAGAATCTTAATTCGATTTTAGATCCACTTTCTGCTGCTTGAGGAAAGTGGAAACTTACAGTTCTGTGCGTAAATCCATATTTGGATGAAAAGTTATTGTAGCTTGTGAACTGAGTTCCAGTGTCACTGACTACTTCATTTGGGATCCCCACCTGTCAAAGACATTTTTCAATTCACATTGGCGAACTGAGAAGGATTAAGTGGCTTGAAACAGGCTATTTCTATATAGTGTGAAAAATAGTTGATTGCTACTAGGTAACTCCATCCATTCGGTGTGAATATATCCATCCCTATCTTCTACCAAAGCCTCTCCAGTAACGGTGTCAGTTTTACTTTAGGTAGAAGTGGAAATGGTATCCATCTCGCTGTTGTGATGCAGTTTGGCTTGACATCTTGTCTTAGATGAATTTTCACTAGTTCACCTTTCATTATATTTTTTATTACAAGCTTAAACATTCATCTGATTTTCTTTACAATTTGTATTAATAAAACAAAAATAATAAACAAAGTGATATGAATAAATTCAAAAGAAAGGCACTAAAAAAATAAACATTTGATGAGTTCTTGAAGTCCACAAATTTCATGATGAATTAACAGAAATGAAAATAAAATACAAATGAATACATATTTTAATAACTTACCAACAGTTTTATCTTTAAAAATTTTAGGGTAACTTCCATTAGGATACTTCCCTTTCAATTGCCAGACATCAAAGAACGCCTTCCAGTCAATGAAGGAAACCAGCTTTGCCAAATCAAAATCCACAAACTTCTTGATACCACAAAACATGGGAGCAGCTAACAAAAAAAGGTTTATAGCCAATATGAAGTAATCATTTACTTATTTATATTGTCATCAATATTATTGTCATCAATATTATTAGTTGCATGAAGCAAGTATGGGGCAGAATAACAATTTCTGGTGTTAAAAATTGAACTGGAGAAGCAAGTTAAAATTTAAGATTGCACTAAGACCTTTAAAAAAGCATCAGTTCTTTTCTCACTTTAGTCAGTCCCATCACCAGATATTGTGACAAACATGTTTTATTACTGGCATGCCACAATACATGATAAAAAGTAGTTGAAGGAACACTTTAGTAAATCACTCAGCCATAACGAGTGAATCTGTACAGGCTGTTGCAATAATGGTCCAATCAGCAGTTATCATATTTACTAAACTCGACACAAAGTCAAAACTGAATTGTAGGAAAGACAAATTTAGTAAAGCTTTCTATTCAAATTCTGATTATGTTCTAAGTGTGTAAATTTCTAGGAGCAGGAGTTATTATTTACATGCAGTCTATTGTTATTATTTACATTCAGTCTATTGTTATTATTTACAATGTTTCAGCTGCTTTCTTCAGGTGACTATCACTTCAGGTAACCTTCAGGGAATTTTGAACTGAACACTTTATTTTATCTACAGAGGTAGAATGTTTTTGTTCTGTTTATTTTTAGTACTGCTTTCTAATTGCACATTCCTGTTTGTATAGAGTCTCTGTACTACCTTTGCTCAGAGATTGAACACACATTTACAATGCCACAAAAACAATGAATCAAAAGGTTGTTCAGTTTTAAAGTTCACCTAATATAAGGCTCAAGAGCCACTCAGTGTGTTAGGTTAATGAATGAGATCTATGAGATGGGAAGAAATTAACATTATGAAGATGAAGAGAATAATGATTGACCTTTGACTTTGATGAGGTTATATGTGAAGTTTTCAGTAAAACATCTGGAACAATGTGTAACTTAATTGATATGTGACACTATTTGACACTGGCAATTGAGAAAGAAAGGGGGGTTAAATGCAAAAACATAGCCCAGAATGAAACAAGAAGGGTTAATGAATAGAACAATGGACAGACTGAGAGAAAGAGTGAACATTTTTCATTACTTTCAAAAGAAAAGCTAATTTTCTGAAACCAGAGGTTTCTTAAAGAAAATGATATTGTCACAAGGAAGCTATGTGGCGATCTTTAAGTCTGACAATTGATTAATGAAGCCATTAGCCAGACCTGATTGCAAAAACACAAAATAAGGTCTATTTATGTAATCTAGGGTATTCAGAGTGCAGTAACCTTAGCAGGGCTTGGGAAGATAGCTGCCTGAGACAAAAACAGCTGGTAAATAGCTGATTTTGGACAAGATTAGGATGAGAAAATTTTGTGTAATGAGAAATTTTTCAGGAGCTAGATTGGCTGAGGGGTAGCCAAGGTGGCATGTACAGGTGAAACACCAAGGAAGGTAGAGGAATTGCCCATGCTCATTGGGAGGTGTTGGTGTGAGATACCAATAAAAAGAGGAGGAAATTATCAGGGTGGATTAATACCTGTGATCACTACCCATAAGAATATTTTCCAGAGCCAGATAACAAAAGGACTCTTGTTGGAAGATAGGGGAAACACCAAGTCCACTAAACAGGTCATGCCCCACTTCAGTTTTAGATGAATGTCAATAAATGCAAGGAATTGAAGCAGCTAAGACTGTTGTTGCAGACACTGAGATGAGAGACAACCATGTTGCCTGATATCATGTGACTGCCTGTCTGAAAAGAACCTCCGACATAAGCCTTTGACAGATTTAACCAAACTAGCCAAAGTGTAACATTCAACTTACATAGTGAATTGGGTCAATAATTTTCTGCATGAAGAATTGATAAATTCTAACACTTAACATTTATTTAATTCTAACATCTAATTAAGACTAATCAAGCACTGTACAAAAGAAGGTATATAAAAGCATTTATTTTTATTTAAGTTATCTTTTTCCACTTGCTCTTCACTCTGCCGAGACCAACCCAATACAATGATTCCTGATGATGGTTTGAACTTTACCAGCCTTATGATCAAAACTAAACACAATGTGGGATAAGACAAGATTTGGATCAAAGCAATTAACTCACTGATCAACCACAGGGATTGAACATTCAGACAGACCGACTGAGAAGAAGCCCAAAGATAAACATATTGATCAATCTGTTCATATTTCCCCAAAACTTTGAATAATAGGGACACTATTGTCTTTGTTTCCATTTTAAATCTGTACAGTTTTTTCCTATGATATCAAATAGACAAAGAACTTGATTTGGAGCAATATCTTTGCAATAAAACACAGTTAATCACTTGAACACATGGCAAAGGTAAACCAATGAAATATTTGATCTCAGATATTTTCCCCATGAATTCTTTTATATAGAGTTTATGTGATTGTAAATATTTTTTTTATGAATTACTTCTTCACAACTTTAAGAGTCTCATAGCCCCCTTAAGGTCATAGGTGCACCACAGGTACCAGTATGATCGCAGCAATGCTGTGACTAAGACAAGATAACTTGATGTATCCTATTCCTATTAGGGCTGGCTTTGTATTTTGAATTTTCCTTCTCTTAGACTGGTTGTCGCTTCAAGGCAAAAGAACCCGGTCAGTCCTGCTATTTAACCTGTCAGAAAAAATAGATTCATTGCTTTCCCAAAGGTCATTGTTATCGTCGGTATCCGTCCGTCTCGAGAGACGATGGAGTAGCGCGGTGCACTAAGAGCCTGGGCGGGATATATGGAGAACTAGGGCTGCCCAGACATCTAGTTCCCCCTCGCAGCCTTGCTAGCAGAATCCAAAGGAGAGGATAAACCAATACAGTTTGGTACCAGCGCGGCTGCAGGAGTTGCCAGAAGGTAGCACAAAGTGCTGTCTATCCACCTTAGGGTTTGAATTAAGAGTTGTCCTTCTCCTAGACCAGTTGCCATCCAAGGCTATAGAACCCAGTCTGTCCTGCTATTTACCCATAGCTGGAGGGAGAAGAAGAGGATTCACACATTTCCCAAAGGTATTAGCACGTAAGTGAATGTAATGGATTTGACTGGAATTCGAACTCGGCTCTCCGATTCCTCACTCCAAGCCGCTATCCATTACTCCACCATGCCTCCAAACGTATTTGTATGAAAATAAATGCAACAAACCCAGCCAGATTTAGGTACTCAGAAAAAGTTCCTAACCCTTACAATACCTCCAAATCCAATATAAATTACATAAACAGATTAATCTAGAAAGTAAAAATATCAGTGAAACATAAAATGTATACCAAGAAAAACACTCGTACTTCAGTACTTATATAATATTTTCTGTTTTAGATGTGTAAGTTATGATTATTTTCTGATAGCAGATATATATGATGATTATGAATAATTTCACTGTTAAAAGGTTAAATATTAAATAATGATGAAATTGAAAGCATATCTTAAGTTCAAGAAAAATCTCAACTTACAAGCAGGTGGTTCGTCAACCCAATCAATCTTTAATCTTTCCTTTCGAGCTTCTTCCAATGTCAAATATTCTCTGTTCTGCAAAATAATTCAAAATCAAAAATTAAGAAACCTTTTACTATTTCCATCACAAAGAACATATTTTGAAGTTGTTGTTTTTTTATGCAAGTTAACCCCCAACAACTGTTATTAAAGTCTTCTGTTCCCAAAATATGACAGACTAATAAGTTTTCACCTCAACAAAGAAACCTTATTCACTTCAAATTAATGCCAGCAAATCCAGAGGAATCTGGTTTCAGGTCTTTTTTGTCAAACATTAAATAATTTGAATCTGAGAACATACAAAGGATTCTGTCATTCTCTTTTTTTAATCAGGTGTTTATATAGCTTCCTGTCATCTGATTGTTTTGCATGTGTATATTCTAAGTTCAGCTGCTTTCACTTCCTGTTTGTGTTGATGTACTCACCAACATCCTTTGAGCGATGATTTTGTACTTGATGACTTTGATGTCACCTTCTAGGTCAATCCTCTAAGCACCTGGGTCTTTTGATGTTCTGAGGTAACACTGAGCATAAAGTTTGCTTTGGTATCTCTACATATTGGAGTTTTCATAGATCATCACTTCTTAGATTCCTGATGGACATTAAATCCAATTCAGACAAAATAACATTTCCTGGCATGAATCAGCAGGATGTAACCAACAGGAGGATTGTTTCTAAATAACCAGAGTTGTGTATTCTGTAAACAGGAGCACACATAAACGTAGAGTATACCATGGTCTTGATATAAACCAAGAGTCATTTCAGGTTGACAAGGTTTATACATGTGGATGTAAATTCTGCCTCAGTCATTCATCTATTTATTCTACATTTATTTTTTTAACATTATGCTAAAGAATATCAAAAACAATGTGGAAGCCAACAAATAACTTTGCTTCAAACTTCACCGGTCGGAAAGGTTTCAATGAGTTGCTGTTAAATGTGACATGACAAACCTGTGCCACATGGAATTGAATAACTATGGTAAAAAATTTTGGTTGGTAACCGTATTTTTTCCAGATTATTCAGAGGCTTGATCTGCTTACTAAGTTAAACATCTTTATTAAATCAACAAAAGTAAAATAAAGCCTTTCATTTTAGTTACAATATTTTTTCTTATATTATGAAATAGACTAAGTCCATTATTTTAATATATTTTATTGTTATACATTATTTATATAGACACAAATATTCAAGAAAATGCTCTATTTATAATAAACAGTATTAACAATATTTACCAACCTGAATATCTGAGAATTTCATAGAAAATATGCAAAAATCAAACAAAAATCTTGTGAGTCATATTTCAGTTAACTCTAAAGCTACATTTGCTCTTAAGGAGAAAAATATGATCATTGGCAATCTGAGTTACAAACGACATTTAGGGACAGTTATACTTCCTACTTTATGTTGGCCCAAAACATCAGAAGTTAATGTTAATGTTATTAAGATTTGTGACTTTAAAGGACTTCAGGATAAATGACTTTCAGTCAGGTGACAGATTTTAGTTTCACTTGGAATTCCATCCTAGCATCCTTATTTCAATGACACTGTACACAAAAAGTCTTCTTGGACAATCTGCTCAAAACCAATTGACAGCTGTGTGGTGCTCAGTACAGAATATTATTCTTTTAGGTCTGTCTACTACACCAGTATAACTATTAGGTGCCAATGTGTAAAGCAGGAGTGCGTCCACATGGTTCTTAAAATGTCTGTTTTTCTTTATTTATATTATCCAGACTATTGTTTAATGGATGTCAGTTATCAGTTATCTCCTGTTAGTTTCCCTCTGAAAGTTCTCCACTGCCTTAGTTAGATCCAGTGACAGGACCCAGAGAGTGTGAGTTCAATACCCAGTTAAGACAGTGGAGAACTTTCAGAGGGAAATTAACAGGAGATAACTGATAATTGACATCCATTAAACATGACACATGGAACTAGAACAGTCTACCCCAGTGAGTGAAATAAAGGGTTCAGTTCGACATTCCAACCACCTGAAGAAGTTCGAAGCATACAACGTCCGAAACGTTGTAATAAATATGGCAACAAATCTGAGGACAATAGTCCGAATAATGTAAATAATGTACATAATATCTCATCTCAGAAATATAGACAGTCTGTTTTTCTGCTGAAATAGTGTGGTAATGTCCAGTTCTTGTTTCATGCAGAACTTAAAATAAAGATGTCTGTTGTCAATTTTCCTACCCTAAAGCTTCCTGACATTTTTCCCAGTGCACTTAAATCAACAAGATTAATGACCTTATCTTGTTGATTAATCAACAAGATTAATGACTTTATTGAGAAACAGAGGCTGGGCCACCAGAGAGAAATGATGGAAATAACACAAAAGACAATATCAAATGAGAGGGCCTTCACATGCATTCATTGCAATTGAGACTATCCCTCTCACATGTGGGCCTGTACAGCCATAACAAATGCTACACTGCCATCTGCAGTTGAGGCATAACTGTTTGGGTGCAGATCCATGGTCTCTCGAAATGAATGGATGCCATAAAAAAAGGACTATCACTTGCTGGGACGTTTGTTAGAAAGCAGTGTAAGTCAGGAACACATTTTTTATTTTTCTGTTTGAATTTCTGGGATGCAACTTTGCAAAAACCAAATCTTCACTCCAAAAAAGAATACTCCAATGATCCTAGTTTTTATTCTGATGAAATTTACTGAAGGAAAACAATTAAGTTCAGTCTAATAGTGTCTACTTTGACTAATAAGGTTGCATTTGAGATGAGTTATAATAGTTTATTTATTTATGATTTAAAACAATCATTTATTTTGTACACTTTACAATTTGAAGTGCTTTTCACCTAAAAATTTTCTAATGCAATTAAGAGTGATTATTATTCTTTTTTTACTGGTAAACATTTTTTCGTACTAATCACATTACACAAATATCTCCAATTCTGTAGAGTGTATACATATTTTTATATCAGAATTTTCTCCAATCTTAATTCTTACAGATGGCCCAGAAGATTTTGATCATAAAGGTTTAGACAAGATTGACTTCTTCTTTCTTCATGTATCTGAATTGAAATTTTTGTTCGCACCTACAAACTAATGATTCTCAAATTACAATCACATTTAAAGCTATTGGAGTCATGAATATTGAATTTGTTGATATATATTTTAGGCACCTAGCCTTCAGGTGTAGAATTACAGTTTTAATTTCAAATGATTCAGATCATAATGAACAATCAAAATGCAACTTACTTTTAAAGAATCCAAATAGTAATTCCTGATGTCTTCATAATCTTCAGAAAGTTCTTCTAAATATTCCTCCACTAAATTTTCATTCATCAATGTTGAACACTGCAGAAAAGTTTGAGAATAAAAACAATCCTGGAAATTCTGCTAATCTGCATCTAATCAATAGCCTCTCACTACCAACCTGAGTAACCTAATAGGAGAGTGTCTGTTTACTAACCACTGATTGTTTGCCAAATTACACAAATTCTGGCCACCAAGGAAAAATAAAACAATGACCTATACTGTATTTTATCACCAGATGCATTTGAACCCAGTTTTCAGATAGAAAGATTTCAGATTTACTCGTTATTTATCACTAACTTTACTGATATTCTCAAGATGTTGGGCACTACTTAAATAGACTGGTCCACTTGTAAAAAGTAAGTCTTTGTCTGAAAATAATATTTGTACATTCTTTTTATGTGCCATGTCCTTTCAGGATGTAGGCGATCATGGCTCTCCACCTCCCTCTATCCCTTGCAGCTCTCAACAAGTTCCTTCCCTCTGCCACCTCCCCCAGACCACATTCTGTCATCCACTTGCAAGGCATGTCATGTGTTGTTTTCTCTTGTCTCTCTTTCCCTCTATTCGACCCATGAGTATCAGATTTTCCAGGCCCTCCTTCCTCATTATCTGTCCCAGGAACTTCAGCTTCTTCCTGATACTAAGTATAAGTCTCCTCTTTGTTTGCATCCTCTCCAAGACCTCATCGTTGCTCACATGCTCGGTCCATGATATTCTTAACATCCTTCTGTAGAACCACGTCTCCGTTACTTCATGTTTCTTCTTCATTTTTGAAGAAATCGTCCAACATTCGCTGCCGTCCTTAGCCTGCAACACTTGCCAGAATAAACAAAGGAAGTCCTGTTTATAATATCATTATATTGCAAAATCAATTTCTGAATTTGACAGAATTATTGGACTTCCAGTTAGTTACAAATGTCAACTTTGAAAGTGTAGTAATATCATTGATATCTGCATATTTTTTTTAATTTTCAGAATTTTTAACATTTTGTTATGTCTTCATTTCATTGAATGAAGATAACAGAATCATGAAATATAATGTCACTTGGAGTCAACATAGTCTTACTGAATTAACTAAGTTTTGAAATATATTGATTTTTTATTGATTTAGAAAGCAGAGTCTTACTGAATTAAATAAGTCTTACTGTAATAACTATATCAGGCTCATTCATGGCTAACTCTCTGCTGAGGATCTCAGCATCAGTATATATGCTATTTGGACAAGTCCATGTCATATTATGAGAGGTGTGTTCTCATTTTTTAAACATTTTTTTCAGAAGCACATCCAAGCAAGGCATGAGTGCCACTAACACGCAAACATGGGGTTACAGAAAGTGAGAGCAGGAGTAAAGAGTGTGTTTGAGGAAAGGATATAGAGAAGGAAAAGGCTCAGAATCAAGACATCAGATGTTGATTGACATTACATTTGAATATTTGAAGAGCATAGCTACCAGGGAGGCAAGTAAGAGGAAGGGAGTTCCACTATTGGGAAGTTCAAGATGCAATGCTGTTAGAATAAAAGAGACAACTACATTTAACTGTTTCGACATTGAAAGGGTGGGACCGAGATGCCAATCTAGTAGCACACTTAAATTCATGCAGTTGGGGTAACAGTGAAAGTAGCTCATCAGAGCAGTTGTCATGAAAATATTTGTAGAAAAGACAGAGGGAAGCCACATCACGTCTGTGAGAAAGTGATTGTAGATGAGATGCCAGATCAGGACCTGTCACACTGCATATCTGTCTCTGGATTTTATCGAAGACCTCGATATGAACAGCAGGGGCACCAGACCATATATGGCAACAGCATTCCAGGCGAGGATGAATGGAAGATTTGAAGGATGGACTCAGGCGAGAAAAACCTCCTGGCATGACACAGAGGACCAACTTTCATACACAAACATTTCTGGTTAATAATGAAGGATAAATGGATACAGACATTAATTTATGCAAATTTCTGTTCTTTAATTGATAACATATGCATTTTTTCTTTATTTATAAGAAATCTTTCTGTAACCACCCCACAAAAAAGTTGTTGTATGCACAACAGCTAAATCCAATAACTCTGTAAAAGTCAGAATATCAATTTGATAATTTATCAATATTACAAACAGGAGCTGCTTTCTAAATCAATAAAAAATCAATATATTTCAATTTTGACAAGTATCATAACCTACAGAAGGTCAAAAGAATTCCGATGTTCAAAATTATTCCCAAAAAACCTTTTCCTTTGTTTTTTTTTCAAGTGGACCACTGTATTTACATAGTTCCAGATTTTATTTTCTAAATATTTTCAATTTTAAGAGGAAACAAATATTAGAGGATTAAAATACTGAATTTTTACAAATTTTCACCTAAAAATTGATTGAACAAGTTTCAGAACTCGATCTATATGTTATGGAATGAAAATAAAAACTGGATTGTCTGCAGTCTGGAATTAATGCAAATATTACAAACATAAGAAACGAACATAGCTTAACAGCTAGCAGCATGGGAAGAGAGATTGGCAAACCATGTTCAATACATTCACTTTTTCTCAAATACCTATCAGTTATGGGTAAAATAGTAAGGCAAACTGGGCTCTCTAGCCTTGTTTGGCAAACAGTCTAGAGATTGATAAAAACAGCCTGTAAAAATGTACAGTGACTGAAATTATAGTGCCTACATTTTATTACTAACATAAGAGGGCTCTCTCTCTCTCTCTCTCTCTATATATATATATATATATAATAGCTCTCTTATGTTAGTAATAATATATATATATATATATATAATAGCCCTCTTATATTAGTAATAAAATGTAGTTTATATATATATATATATATATATATATATATATATATATATACGTATGTATATAAAACCGGAAGTCAAAATGAATACAATTTAAAGAAAAGAGGAAAAGGAGAGAAAAGTTTAAGTAGTGAGTGTAATGTGAAAAAAACAACTAAAAGGACAAATAACCACCACATACTACACATATGCATATACAAGTGTATGGGCATATGGCCGTATGCACATGAACATATATGCATGCACACATACACTATGAAAACAAAATGCAAAAAACTTGCACCAATAAAAAGTGGATATAAAAAAGAAAAATAAAGAAATATAAGCAGTCAATTGGTGATATCCTCTGATGAGTGGACAGAGTGATTCCTGAAGGGTCTTTCTACAAAACTCTGGAGTCAGGATATTGAAGATAACATCAATCAGCTAAGTGGCAAACCATTTACTTGTATTAATTCTCTCTCTCTCTCATATATATATATATATATATATATATATATATATATATATATATATATATATATAAATTCCCAAGAGGATAGAATCCAGGTAGAACTCAATGTCCAGGACAGAGTAAGAATATAATAAAAAGGCTCAAACACTAATATTCGATGGTTATAATTTATTACATTGGAATCGTAATCATGATCCAATTCATCAGACTTACAAATTCAAAAAGAAATCAGAAAATATAACTCCAGGTATAAAGAACAAAATTTTAGTGAGAGTGTATGTGTGGGAGTGGGAAACAAGTGTGAGAGGGAAATATATGAAGGCTCTAGAGAGAGGGGTAATGGAAGAAAGAAGAACAGGAAAGGCCTTAAGGTGAAGGTAGGGATTATAATTTAACAGAAAGAAGTTTTAAAGAGAGGAGTTAAATAATGGTTTGGGGGTTAACTATTTGCCCATAGCTGGGACCCTAATAGGTGCTACCACCCCGGGTCAGGGTGGACATGGGAACACAGGCAATTAAGAGATGGTTCCACACTTCTCAAAACCTCCTGATCAGAGGCCTTGCTGTTAGACGTAGTTTATCGTCTTACCCAGAACGCAGATGTAGTTTATCATCATACCCAGGACACGGATGTAGTTTATCATCATACCCAGGACAATGTGACCTCAGGGTTGCCCACCAGAAATACATGCAGTAACATCTACCCATGCATGATATGGCACTACAAATACCCAGATATTATGCAACTGTTGATCAGAGGAGTCTACCAAAGAGTTTACGCTCCTTATTACTAGTTAGATACAGCAACCAGAAAACTGCCAACCTGGTAAATGTTGCAGTCACTGAGCAGTGAGACAACAAAAAGTTAAGACAATTAAATAAATATGGCCATGGAAAGAAAGGAACTGGTAAACCACATCTTAAACAGGAAACAAGGGATAAACCTCTACTCCTGTTCATTAAACATGGAAGGAGTACTGGCTGGGTAATAGGCATACCTATCTACTCCTATTAACCTGTTCACAGCACAGGAGGCTGAGTGCTTTTATGTAGACACTATCTTTAGGAAGGTTACAGGATAAGGCTCTATATCCCTTCTGGACCAAGGGGGATTTACTAGATTATTAAAACCTATCTGAAGATTATCCTAGGAGTTGAAATCAAAGGAATATTAACATAAAATTAGATCAGTCAATCAAGTTAAATTTAAGAAAAATTTAAAGTTTAAATATACATATATATACACACACACACACACACACAAATACAACACAGACACACACACTTACATATATTTTATATTGGACATATAATAATTTTATAATCAATTATAATATTTATATTGTAGATTATATTGATATATTTATTATTATTATTATTATTATTATTATTATTATTATTATTATTCCTATTTTATTTTTACCATCTATTATTAACAGAGAACCCATAAAAAATAACAGAGTGTATGGGATTAGAGTATCTGTGTACTCTGCCTACAATCAAAGTTTTACTCCTTAATACATCTGGTTAAGATAAATGTGCACTCTGCCTAACTTAGTATTTGCAGGTTAATTTTACCAAGCTGTTTGAACAGCAAAATGCTGGCATAGTGGATATGATCCTTGCTTGCTTGCCTCCAAGTGGGATGTTTGAATCAGAACAAAATACATTTGTGAATTTCATATAGCCGTTTGTTTGTTTCTCTGTCCATAACTTCTATCATACTGAAGCAAATAAATGCCTAAAATTAACAAGTGCATCCTGCACAAAATCAAACAGCTGAACCTAAGCAAGCAAGTAACATATCCACTATGTCATCATTCTGCTGCTTGAGTAGCACATTAAAATTAACTTGTAAAAAGTAAGTTGAGTTTAGTGCACCGATCCCGGGCAGAGGGCTGAGGAGTGACACTTTGAATTTTAGCAGTGTACACAGACACTACATTGATCCTTGTGAGTGGATCAAAAAGTGATACTTTGATTCTAGGTAGGGCACACACACATTTTTATTCTAGGAAGAAGTGCCAATCCATATATAAATAATTCAGTAATTGTTTTAAAGATACTAAGCTAGTATTAAATAATTTAAATACACAGAAAATCCTAAAAAATTATAGAGAGCAGTACACTGGATAGTTTCACTCTCCCCAAATTGTAAAAATGGAATCAGCTAAATTATGTATATTTTCTTTTTCTCTCTCAAGGTGATGCAAGATTGGGATAATCACTGACCAAAAAGAGTGCTAACCATCCAACAAAAGGAAATCTTGCCTCAAGTCACATCCACACTGGTACAATTAACCCTATCAGTCAACTTAGTGTTTGCAACATTTTGTAGGGTTCCAAAGTTAACACCCAACAAGGGGTATCATTACTGCATCTTATCTTTGTCTAGAGAGAATGACTATTGGGTTGTGAAAGATTGACACCTTGTCTTCTGATCAAACAGGTTTGCACCTCCTTCAGGCAAATGATCAAGTTTGTGTGTATAAAAAGACTGCATAAGACTATGACTTCAGCCTGTCAGCAATTGGTGGTGGCTCTGGAATGGTGTGAGGTCTGTTCACAAGAACTACAAGTGAATTTGGAGTCTATCTTGACAGGTGTGAGATACAGAGCCTGTTGCAAACCATTTGCATGCTTTGCTAACCATATTCTTTGGTGGTGATAATTTGTTGCAACAGGATAATGCAGTTGCACCCTCATTGTGCATGGGTGTCATAAAACTAGTTGAAAGAACACTTAGCCAACATCCATGTACTCAACTGGTCCCCCTTCACTAGCCAGATTTAAACCCAATTGAACATGTATAGGACAATATGTTGCTAAATTCCCTGTATCCACATTCAACAAACAGAACACATAGACAATCCTGGAAAATGTCTGAATAGATTTTCAAACACAATGATTCCTGCACCTCATAGAATTTATGTCATGTCACATAGCCATGTCACATCTATGCCATGTCACATAACCATGTCACATCTATGCCATGTCACATAGCCAGGTCACATCTAAGCCAGGTCACATAGCCAGGTCACATCTATGCCATGTCACATCTATTCCATGTCACATCGCCATATCCCATCTATACCATGTCCCATCTATTCTATGTCACATAACCATGTCCCATCTATGCCATGTCACATAAACATGCCACATCTATGCCATGTCACATAAACATGTCCCATCTATGCCATGTCACATCTATGCCATATGTTATTGTTCAGGCAAAGGGAAAAGCTACACATTATTAGACAACTGTCTATAATTTTTTGGCAATTAAGTTTATATAAGATAAACAGGTGTAAAGTATTATTTTATGTCTTTTTAAATAGAGTTTTGAGAAAAATAACAGACAGGAGAATTTTCAAAGGAATGTAATGTAGGTCATTATTCTTATTGTAGAAAAAATAAGCAAAAAAGAAAAAAAGTAAATTTACTCACAACAAAAACACTTTTTGAAGCATCAGGTACATATATTGTAGGACCTGAGTATAAGGGGCCAATTTTTACAGCTGTATGTTGCCTGTTTAAGGACAAGATCACAATTATTGTTTATTCATAATCCTCTCAAAAATTAGTTTTTCCATTTTTAATAAAAATAAATCAAGCATTTTTTTTAGAAATCAAATTCAAGTTGAATTAAATTAGTATTCTGTTAAAGGACCAATACTGGTTATAAGGTGCAATCTGTTGGCACTGGTCAGTCTCAAGAGATTATGACATTTTATAGGTTGGCTAGTTAATCCCTATTGCAGATGCCTGTGCAGACTTATATGCATTCCTTCAATACCCACAGAACCAACCTGCAGTTTATACTGTAACTAAACAGAAATTAGTTGAAGTTTCTGAAAGTACAATATCTGGCATGTTCAGTATTTGAACCAGGCCAAAACACTAACACACTCAGTCACACTTCACACACTTCATGCTACAATATGACAATGGCACTGTATGCTGGTATTGTCCCTCCAAGATCAATATTTTCATGAAGTCACCCTCTTTGACAAATTGGTTATGACAAAATTCAATCCTGGTTCTCATGATAAGAACGCTAACCTTGTAACCACTAGGCCACACAACCAAAGCAGACATAATCAAATAGTTATTTTTTACTGTTCATCCTAGTCTTCTTTATTCTTTAAACATGAAAGAAGAAATTAATTCTATTGGTATCCTTCGTATAAACAACACTAATTATTGGAATGCATTCTGTATTATATGTTTGCATATTTTCAAAAGAGGTGCAGAAGAAATGCATATTTTGAGTGAATACAAAAATATACTAACTTGGACGTAGTAGCTCCACCAATAAGCAGAGGAATTTTCAGTCCAATCCTTTCCATTTCTTTAGCAACATGGACCATTTCATCAAGTGAAGGAGTTATCAAACCAGAAAGACCAATCATATCTACAAAATGAGAGTAACTGCTTAATTATACCAGAAAAAAATTTCTTGTGAAATTCCAAAAAATATTTTTTTTTTACTAATTGTTCGCCTAATGCAAGCCCCAAGATCAATTCAAGGTGGAGAGTTACTGGATAAGGTTCTTGTATGAACGTAAGAGGAGGTGTTAATAAGTGACGATTACAAGGATATGTAGGAAAGATAACTGTTGAAGAGATTAAGATTATAGCAATTGGGGAAGCATCCACTTGGGAGTCTGCAATTAAAGTTAAAACAAAAGAAAATCATGGACAAAGCGGAAATAACCAGAAATGAGAATCAAGTCAAAAATCTCTCTAAAGTCACCAGACTTGATTAGAAAGAGTTATTTGAAATCTACATTCTGAATGTATTGTTGGCCACTCATATTCAAGGATACCTGTCTACTAGGACGGCTAGCCAACCTCTATTGCAGACGCTTGCTCAGGCACATTTGTGTTTATTCAACACCCACAGAAATCACCTGTAGTTTATATTGCAACTATGCTGAGCAGACCTTAGTTACAGTTTCTGGGAAAGACCATGTTATCTAGTGTGATCAATATTTTGAACAAGGCCATCACACTCAAACCCTCAGCCACAAAAACTTGTGATTTCATGCTAACACAGCTATCGACAGGCCCAAAGGTTCCATCTACCCAATTTCACTCACAAGACTTGGGTCAACCCATGACATGGTTTTCAGGCACTTTCCGAAGGTGCTACACACTAAAATCAACCCCTCCAGTCTGATAACACCAGGAAGTCTCCTTTCTGACAAATTGACCATTGTGAGATTCAAACCCAGGTTTCACGGTCAGAATGCAAATGTTCTAACCACTTGGCCACATAACTATTATGAATATATTGAATTAAAATCTTAAAACTATGGAAATGATTAAAATATTTATCCAGTATTGCCTTTTGTTTTGCTTATTATTTAAGACAATAGATATTAAACATAGAATAGAAAACATTATAGAAACGTAAAAAATAAAACCTTTTATTTAACTTTAGAATATCTGTGTATTTATCTCCAAAAATCCTTTCTGTAAAGAAAAAATCAACTTAAATAAGTACAATGTTTGATGACTGAGTATTAATTATATCCACTTATATATTTCAAAGAACTTGTTCACGTAATATACAAAGAAAATTTGCAATTACTAACTTGACATAAACATAAATATACTTACTGTCAACTATTAGGTAGCAGATTAAATAGTCTTATAAATCACTCAGTCAATCAGTTATGTGCCATGCGTGATACACACTTAGGTGATCATGTATCTTTTGATACATGACTGACAAGGCAGATTTTTTTTTCCCCCACAGTAGGTTGCCATTTCTTTCAGCAGTAGACCAGTTGCCATTTAACACTATTTACCCATAGCTGGGGGGGGGGGAGAAGAAGAGGATTCATACTTTTCCCAAGAGTATCAAGACATAAGTGAATCAAATAAATTTGACTGGAATTTGAACTCAGCTCTCCGATTCCTCAATCCGAGTCGCTATCCATTACTCCACCATGCTTCCCAAATCATTCACTATTATAATAATTATAGTGGCTTTATTCCAAACTAAACTTGGTAAACATTGCCACAGAATAATGGTTTGTAAGACTATTATTCACATAGAACAAAGGATGCCAATTAATTGAAATAAGCTTTATGGTAAACAAGATATGAATATTTGGTTCACTGAAGTATTTGTATCAGTCAATAACATCAAACTTTTTACTGATTTAATTAAAATAGATTTACCTGCATTCTCTTGAATAGCTGCAGATAAAATTTTCTCACAGGGCGTCATCACACCTAAATCAATAATCCTTGAATATAAGAAAAATATAGATACAAATTACATTATAATTTGCCAAACCTGTCTGCTAATGTAAGAAAATTTCCTCCTATTAATTTCAAACCTGCCATGGAATCTTCATAAAAAGTGATATGCTCATGTCTACACAAATCAGAGAATGAACTTGTAGCAGTAACTTACCTCAGTGACCCAAAAGGGCTAGAGTCATGTGTATGTTTTGCAAGGGAGTGTGGAGACGGCAAATTGGTGAGCTTCAAAGGAATAGTGAATCAGGCAGCACATTGTTCTGATGGAAGTGATGGTGTCATTTGTAGCCATTTTTATTGTCTGGTTCTGGGCACTCATTGGCTAAGCACTGACTGCATAAAAGCATGGAATGCTCATTCAGTAGTAGTTTGCTTTTCACTTCTGACAGGAAGTGGCCTATTGGAGATCAAGACGTGGAGAGAAGTGTGGATTTGTTTTGCCTAGTGAAGCTATTGGACTCGCACTACCTTTCCAACCTCCTTTCTTTTCCTGTGCGTGCATCCAACCAATTTTTGCACAGACCCACTCCATGTCAAATCCAACTTTTGATACTGTTCTTATTAATGTGAGATACCTTCATAACAGCTCCAGAGTGTTGATCTAATCTGATATAACTTCATCAAGCAAATAGATCTATAGGTATTTACCAGGGCAACCATGTCACAACTAGTTGTGACACAAGGTCAAGGTTTAAAGTGGGTTTAACGGTCATACCGTAGAAAAATTCCCAAGGCACCTCAGCAGGGTAATAACTCAGGCGCCAGACAATAAACCCAGCCCCCTACAGAGGAAGAGGTACTGCCTTGGGGGAAGGTCCCCTGGGGCTTAGGCTTAAAATCAAAAGAGTATAAATCCCAGCCAAAGACAAATAAATTCATAAGTATTTAGCAGAGCATCCACATCACAACTAGATTTGACGCAAGGTTGAGGTTTAAAGTGGATTTTAACATACCATACCATGGAAAAATTCCCCAAGCCCCCCTCAGCACTTCACCTTTTGGGAAAACCTCAGGCACTGAGCAATAAACTTAGCCCCTTCCTGAAGGAGTGGTGCTGCCCTGGAGGAAGGCCTCCTGGAACTTGTGCTTAAAATTTATGGAATATAAATCCCAGCCAAAGGCAAATGGATTTATAGGTATTTACTGGCATGCCCAACCCAAAACTAGATGTGACACAAGGTCAGTTTAAGGTGGGATTCTCAGCAGTATCGTGGAAAAATTCCCAAACCCTCTTGGCACTTACCCTTTTGGAGATGTGTCAGGCACCAGGCTACAAACTCAGCCCCCTCCCAAGGGAGAGGTAAAGCCTAGAGGGATGGCAAGTAGATTTATATATCCCCATTGGAAAACCAATTTCAACTGCAGGTGGCACAGGTCAAATTATTAAAGCACAAGTTTACATTAGCTGAAGGCTATCAGTTCAATACTTGTGTTGGGTAGTAAATATTCATTTGAGTTATTCAACAACTTAACACAGAGAACCACAATAATAATTGCAGACACCAAGGAGTGTCTTTTTAGAGTAAAATTCACACATATATTAATATCGTTATTGTCATCAGAATACTTTGTGCAGAAAATTATATCTTAATTAAGTGACCCTTAAAAGCAACCTACTTCATTTGTAATCCACCCTGTACCCTAAACCAAAATGACAGCTTAAAGAGGCTTGGTTTAAATTCTTTAAACATTAATCAGGGGACCCTTAAAAGCAAACTACTTCATATTTACTCTGCCCTGTACCCCAAACCAAACTGACACATGAAAAGTCCTGGTTTCATGTCTTTATTCCTGATCTTTTAATAAAAAAATCATATGTAAACAAAAACAATTTTTATTTATCTAGAAATTTCAATATCTAAGAATTGGAAGGGCAATGGGTAACCCTTGAGACTCAAAAAGGAGAAATGTCAAGAGGGCTTGAGCAATTTGTGTTCCTAGTCTATGTACAGATGAGACTTTCACTGTAAACAGCCTTTTGCCATATTTCATTTTAATTCCATACCAAAACTCTGACAATTTGCACATCAAGAGTGCTTTGACCAGACATAAAAAAACTGGTGTTATATAGCTCTCTCTCAGTCCCAGACCCACATTGACTATTGGCTAATACCTGCCGAGTATCATTCGTATGCAAATTTTGTCAGCGCCACCTACTCCAAGTAGAATGTCCTCTCTCAACAGCCAATTGTGGAAGGGGACATAATTCCTGGTGCTTATTGCACCACACACAACCAACTTGGAATCTCTTGTTAGGTTGCCCCAATTCTCTGTTACATTCTGACCATTCACAACCAGAAACTAATACAATAATAAATATAAAAGCCTCATCTCTGGGGATCCATGACACAAGTATCACCTCTCTATTGCACTAAAGAGATAGGGTCAAGGGTACATCTGATATGCCATAAAAGAAACCAAACTACCACACAAAAGTATGTGAGACTTTATATTAAATTAATTTTATTGAAAGACCCGACAGATATCCGATAACATTTATGATTTGTTTCCTTTCTGAAAATAGAAATTTATCTTTTACAAAATTATATTTTGATAGATACCAAAATACAGGCTAAATAGACTTGCTCAATATCTGTCTATATTTTTGAGATGAGGTATTGTGCAAACTATTTGCATTATTCGGACTATTGTCCTCATCTTTGTTGCCATATTTACTACAACTTTTCGGCCATTGTACACTCCAGCCTTCTTCAGGTGGTTGGAATGTTGAATTGAACCCTTTATTTCGCTCACTGGGCAGCTGCAGAAAGAAATATAAAGGGAAAACAAGCCGTCCCCACTTAAGGTAAGGCTTCAAGAACACCAGAAAGCTGTAACACGAGGGAAAGTGGAAAATCTGGTATGGCTGACCACATAGGGAGAGAAAAGGGAGATCACTGCCCTCTGTGGGATCAGGTTGAGATCATAGACAAAGAACAGCATTAGAAAATTTGTAAACTTAAGGAATCAGCACATATGCTAGGCCACAAAAATCTCCTGAGCCGACCAAGCATAGAAATGAATACAATATGGGAACCAGTAATAAGGAGTGCCAGAGAAAAGCAATGATAACAACAAAAATTGCAATATGAGCTCTGGTAAAAACATGCAATAATAACAGCAAAAATTGCAATACTGGTAAAAAAATGGTTGCTGAAGACATTAGGTTTATAATACCCAGAAATTCATACCTAGATGTCCTCAAGAACACATGGCACAGTGGATAAAGGTGTTAGTTAGATCCAGTGACAGGACCCAAAGAGTGTGAGTTCAATACCCGGTTAAGGCAGTGGAGAACTTGGAGAGGGGAAGTAACAGGATAACTGATAATTGACATCCATTAAACATGGCACATGGAACTAGAACAGTCTACCCCAGTGAGCGAAATAAAGGGTCCAGTTCAACATTCCAACCACCTGAAGAAGGCAGGAGCGTACAAAGGCGGAAACGACAAAGATGAGGACAATAGTCCGAATAATGTAAATAGACTTGCTCAAAGTAATTTCTCATTGGATTCATTCCTCACACATTTTCTAATAGAATTTTTTCCCATCCAACTGAGAATTTGCTGTACTTTTTATCTTTTATCTTTTCTTACAGAATTAAAATTAAAACGTCCAGTCATAATTACTTTTATACCATTTTCATAAAATATGCACAAAGTCAGATGACAGAAACTAATGAAAAAGTAATCAAATGTCTGAATGACTAATAAAAAGACTAACTGCCCATGAAAATTATTTGGTGTATTTGAACTTCCAACCTAATCACAGGAAGTAAATGATATCCATTAGGCCATCATTCAGATACAGGAATATAAAGTGAAATTGGAAATAGTATTGGGGTTGTGGATTGTTATCTGGGCAATTCATAATGATAAAACGCAGCACATTTGCAATGATAGTCTTTGAATCTAAACATCACTAATGATGGCCCCTACTATGGGTAACCAACAATGAATAATATCAAAAGGAGAAATCACTTGGGAATAAATATTTTGTAATTCCTATAATTAGAAATTAGTATTTAATCTCCTTGGTAAGCAGTACCAATGAAAATTGTCAAAACTGAGTGGCAAATTTCAAAATGCATAAAGAATGATAAGACAAGATGTTAGAAAGAAATCAACAAGCTTTTTAGATGCAAGAACACACCACTGAAGAAATATACAAATATAACAGAAATATGTTTTAATGTCAACAAAAAGAGTTGAAACAAGTTTTGTGTGGACAGATATATTGTTTGAATTTTTCTTAAACAACACCACTCCCAGTTATCAATTCAGTTTTAGGACTAAAGTCTGTATACTAACATTACATATACCTTTAATATCATATACTTTTGAACATTTGGACTTACAAGCAAACACCTGTAAACATGTCATGCACATAAGTAAGACAACTCTTGTATAAATAACTGATTATTTTTCCATGTATGCATAAAAAGAAACCTGTCTTTATGGATTTTCAAACTGATGCCAAACATATCACTCCACATTCTTTTGAATTATATCAGTAAAACCAAGAAGGTGATTCTGTTGACAAGCCATCCAAAAAGTTCCATACATTTTGCTTTGCCTTTGCTATTTTGTTTATGTTAAAAAGACTACTTACTTGAAATTATTACAGCCAAGAACAACACTGACAATATTTTTGCCAATATCATGAACATCTCCTTTCACCGTTGCAATAACCATCGTCCCAGTGTAACTTCTTTCCTGATCAATAAAAAAGAAAATGATCCTTACAATTGTTAAAAGTTTTAATGATTTTATCTTGACATTTTTAATTAAAAAATTATTACAGCTATTGACCTTTGACTTTCTTATGACAAAATAATGACTTTGCTTCAGATTTACCTCATACAGTGAGGTGAGTGAAAAAATACTTGATGCACTACAAAAATTTTAATATGCTTAAATAGTTTTTAAATTAAATTTTGCAGCAAATAGAAATACATTTTTTTTAATTTAAAATATATTTAACCAGTGAAATGTTTGGATAAAAAAAATCAGCAAAAAAAAATAAAAATTCACTATATTCAGAAAAATGATTCAGTATTTGATTATATAGATTTTACAAGCAGGTCTGAATTAAATTTAATGTCAATCAGGAACTTTTGATAAAAAAAGGAGTTGATCTGTGGTGGCCCCAATATGTAAGCATTGTACTCACATCAGAACATCAAATGAGCTAAGTGTCCCAGAGGGCTAAGCTAGGTGACCTCATAGCCAACAAGTGCAGGCCTCAAAGGATATCTGTGCTGACATAAAACAAGAAGTCAACACAGATTACACAAGACTAACATGCAACCCACAAGATGTAAAGGTAAAATCCTTCACAGCCTTGCAAGAAGACTGAACATTTGTTCAAAGTTCCCAAAAACCACATCCCCTCACAGCCAACATTAATTTCCAGAAGTGAATAATTGCTCTCACCTGCGACACCCCATTCTTTGCATTCTTTTCTTTATCCATTTCCATAAAGGGTAGAAGGTACCCAACAGCTTTCTTCATTACCCTGGCTGATTTAATAACCTGGGGTAGAAACATCTTCCCAGATCCAAAGAGTGAACCAACTTCATTCATTCCCTAGCATAGAGTGAGTGGCCATGATTAAATGTAAATAAATGGCAGAACTGCCCAACAGAATTGACAAAGTTTGCAATAAACAACAAGAAAAAAGAAAGAAAAGAACAATGCAAAAAATAATCTAAAGCAAGCAAACAAAATATGCAAGGCAAATTAACAGTCATAAATCAAAGCAACAGTAATATGGCAAAAAGTTCACAAAGAATTGAGGTTGACACATAAGGAGAATTTTGGATAAACAAACATAGCATTCAGACTTCAAGGCAAGACAGACTAGGAGTGAGTCATATGAAACCAAAAACCAGCCTATTTTATTAGCTACAAAGAAATCTCAGCAAGCATGTGTGTGCTTCTGCCTATAAATTGGGGGTGGGGACAAGTGTTTTACATTCATTTCCAGTATGGTTGGAGCTAACATCTAGGAAATACAATATAATCCCTCCAATATCTTGTATAAAAAAAATTTACAAAAGAAACCTTAACCCTTTGAACCTGGGTGACCAGTATACCAACCAGAGTCATATCCATTTCTAGTGTGTGACTTTATGAGATGGACAGCAGTGTCCCAGTGTCGGAGATCCATACTCATCAGAAAGATGAGGTCCATAGGGTTAAGCCAAATTTAAATAATTTTCTAAAGAGAAACAAAATATGACAACTTCACACCTGAACTCTCTCATACATATGTGACGTCACCTATGACGATCTAACACTCGGCTGATTCGGATGAAAATCTGGTTAGATTCGGCATCAGCTTTGTCGTTCCCAGCTCGCCTCCAACGTCTGGTTACCAAAGTAACTGCTTTGATTTCTAGTCTAACCTACCCACATTGTGATTTGATCTTAGGTAGACGAAATCAATCAGTCGTCGGGCCGTAGTGCAAACCAAATTCAAGCAAAGGTGACACCGCACAAGTATATTTAAAAGAAAATAAAGTAACAACTCAAAAGACTCAAATGTGTTAAAAAGAGAATAACAAGTAGCTTTATATCTGGTTGCTGAATACAGGACTGCGTCTTTCTCCCAAACCGCTTCTATGGATACGTGATACTTTGCATTTGTTAGGCAAGTCTTAATATCTTAAGTTGTTTTTCAATAAACTGGTTTTTGGTGTCTTCAGGCGATATTCGTAAAACTTGTTTTGGTGGTGTGAGTCGTTCTTCAAAAAAAAAAAAAAATTGTTTTTGGCTAGAAGTCTAAGTCGGAATCTTTCAGTCAGCTCCCACGAGGCTGGTCTCTGAGCTCACAGCTCAACTCTGTCTGCTCTGTCACTCTGTCTGCATCTGCCCAACTGCCACCATCTCTGCCCTGTGGACGTTCGTTTATATGGACGCCAACCAAAACTGGGTGAGGGCCTGTCGTGGTTTGGGTTCCTTGATAATTCCAAATCCGCAATAAGGATTTTCTTTGTTTTTGGACAGGAAAATTTATCACTTTCCATTTTTGGAAGTCCATTACTTTCTGTTTTAGAGGGGTTCTTAAGGGAATTGTCCTCCCAAATTCTTCCTTTTCGCATATCTCACACCAATCCCCTCAGAGAGCGTCAACAGGTTTCCCTTCTTTCTCATATGTTTACCTTCGCCCATCGCCCACGCCACCATTCAGCTAATGAACGCTCGGCAGTGTGGGTGTGGCTAGACTGGCCTCAGTTTACAATTATCGCTCAAAGAAAAAAAAAATTATCTTCCTTTTTCTTTTCTTTCTTTTCCCCGACTGGGACCCCCACGACTCGTAGTGTGCTCATTAAGTCTCTATCTTAACTGAATGTCATCTGGAATTCATCAACGAGATTTTCATCAAGTAATTATTGGGTGGTCAAGTGAATCTCTTTGTATCCTCAACGCCTTTGTACTTCTGTCGCCAACAATCTGTCCAGGTAACAAACTTTTATCATGGCAAGGTCTGGACATAAAACAGGTGGTCCCTTTCCAAAACCAAATGATATCTTCGAAAGATAGTTAATGGTTTATTCTTTTCCTTTTTCTCTTCCTCCTCCCTTTTTCTTTGGAGTGGTCTCAGCTGATCCCTTTCTCGGTCGAAGCTCAACCTAATTCTGATTATCTTCTAGCATTTCGCTTTGTAAGCCACTTGACCAATTTGAAATTTTCATTATTGCCATGGGCAGATTGCTAGCTTTTATTCACCGCATCATAGCATAAATTAATTCTGACAGGTCCGAGATCTTACGAATTTTCTATCTTCTGCAAAAAAATACTTTTCTTCGCAAATGAAAATGAAATCTTTACCACTTTTCTTTTGTTAAAAAAATAACATCACTCAGTATGTCTTTCGTGATAGCTTCTTCTCACCTTAAGTATTTCTCGCTTTTAATTTCCACGCTTAATTAGTTAGCCAAACACTAAATAGTGTCACACATATAACAAGGTCAATTTGCAATTTGATGTATTTCTCAAAAACGTTTAACACATGTAAATTTTATTTGTAATTCAACAACCACATATAATGGGAAAAGGACTAAGAAATAGACAAGACACCAGAAATAGACAAATTGGCAAAGTTCATTCACTCACCTTGAATGATATCATCTGGTTTCAAAACAACAGAAAGTAGAACTCTCATGATATTGCTACTTAGAAACAACGTAAGTTATAATATTGATCCAAATAAAACATATTTTAATTTAAACCCCGAGAAATAAAACACAAATGAACAAGAAAAATATGAATGCCTAACAGGCACAGAATTATTTCTTGCTTTTTTAAATGCAAAAATTAAAATTAAAAAATTGTTAGTATTCAGCTCTAAATTCCATCACATGTATACATATGTAGGTATATCAACCTAAAATTTCTACATACATATGTAGGTATGTCAATAAGTTCTTAGTTTAATGATAAAAAAGCACTGATTTTACACAACAAATATTGATCTCTCAACATAATCTCATTCCATATCAATGCACTTCATTCAGCATCTGTTATTAATCTCACAGATCAAACATTAAACAGATAAAATTTCAGTTAAAAATTCATTTTTTCTCAGACTTACTCAGCAACATTCATAAATATATGGAGATATATTCGAGATTTTTTATTAATTGTTCCTCCAATACGAGGTCCAAGAGCCACTCAAAGTAGAGTGTCACTGATTGAGATTGTTGTATAAGATTTCCTTGAAGAATTATGTTATTTAAACATTTTCAAGTTTACTCAGATAAGAAAAATGGAACACCATCTGCAGAATTGTACAGAAAAAGATATAACTTTTAGAAAAACAATTTGTTTTTTTCCTTCACTAAAGTGATTTGTGATTCTTTTAGGGAATTCCATGTGTGAATACTTCATCTTGGTTAATTATATTATTACATCATATTTACAAAAAAAATAGACTTACTTTCATCAAAGGACCTTCAATTATCTTTAAGGGACTAGAATACAAATCTGTACTATTATGGGCCTCCTCCATATCAGCTTCAATGTAGGTATCAATTCCCTAGAAATAAATCAATTCTCTAGAAATAAATCAATTCTCTAGAAATAAAGGCTTTCATTTAATGAATGTAAATTAATGTAAAATTTTATTCTTGTGTGTGTGTGTGTGTGCACACACACACACACATATATATATATATATATATATATATATATATATATATATGAGAGAGAGACATGCATACATACTATATCAAATTTTATTATTTAAGTCAATGCTTTCAAAATAAAAATGCTATTAACTAACAAATATTTGTTGTTGGTTGGTTGATTTTGTTTAACAGCATATCAACCTCTATTGGTTACTTATGCTAAAATCTAAATATTTTGTATACAATGTTATGGCTTCAACTAAATATATGCTAAAAATAGGTGTTGTTGGTAATTTTACCATAAATATGTATTGTTGGTAATTATTTATATAAAAATATATTTTTATACTTTCATAATGTTTTGTTTTTGTTTGGGAGTTCACTACTTGCCCATAGCTGGGACCCTAACAAGTGCTACCACCCAGGGTAAGGGAACAACAGCGATTAAGAAGTGGTTCCATATTCTTCAAAACCTCCAATCTCTTGAGCAGAAGCCTTGCTGCTAGATGAAATTCATTCGGTATATTTGTTTGTTTTTATTACTATAAACTTTATTTACTAGGTACACGTATCTGAGTAGACATCCCAGTTTTTTTTTAAACAGTGAAATTAATGTCAACTTGCATAGAGATTGAAAAGTCTGATTCCAAAACTTTTGAGTCAGTTGATGCCAGTTACCATGTTTAACCATGCAAGACAACTGCATTTAAAAGTCTATGATGAAACTAAATGTATTGTGTGCCTAACTGTAGCAATTGATGGTGGAACTAACTCTAACTGCTAGTTGCCACAGGCTCCACACTTTATTGAAATGTGATTGGTCTCTTATAATAGTTAAAAGGGAATTAACTCTGTATTAATACATCACAATTGACATTAGTTTAATCAAAAATAGACAAAAGGGGCCTCACAGCACCTTAAGCATAGATGTATGAATAATATATACTTCGACAGTAAGAATTCATTCAAACAAGTTTTATCAAAATGGATTGACAAGTTTTGTTTCATTTTTTATTACATATTTCAAGTTTCTGTGTAAGTTAACAATATACATAATGTCTTTGTTCAAGTACTTGAAAACATTTCTTGTCATTCAGGAATGTTAACATTATTGGTGTCATAACCAAAAGATTTTATTAGCTTCATTCTTTAATTTTTAAGAACTTAATAATTCTTATTTAAATATACATGTACTATATATAATGTCAAGTTGTAACTCACTAGTGAATTAAACATTTTTAAAATACCATACTACATGTTGGTATTTCACCCATTTAAGTTTTTTCAAAAAGATAAGTAATTACTGCTGTAGAAAAAAAGGATAATTCAGTGATGTGACACAACGTGAAGGAAAATAACAAATCAAACCTTTGAGATTCAAACCTTTTATGAGAACAGAAGAAAAGAGAAAGAAGAAAAGGAGAAAGAAAGAAGGCTTACAATAATGTTGTTGCAAAAAAATGGTATTTTACAGACTTATCTTGTCACAGAAATGAAATGTCTTGTTAACAGTTCTTTGAGATCTTGCGATTTCTTGTTGTTGTGGTGGTGGCAGAAATGTCTCAAAGTTCAATCTTCCTGAGGACTGAGAAGTTATTTGTTCACGTGGAGCAGACACCACGATCACATATTCCACATAACTGTTGGAGAAGTTTTTTCCGAGAGCTTTTTTTTTGTACATGCTAATCGTTAAAAGCCAATGTAGGGAAGAGAAAGAAAGATTCAAGCACATTACGTAGATTGGGATGAAGCAGCTTAAGTAAGGGGCCTTCTGATTGCTTCCTTTTAAGCCAGTGACAGGGATTGTTGTAATAATACCAAGGGGCCCATTCAAAGGGAAGTTACTCCGAAAGAATTGTAATAATTTCAATATACACATGATTTCACTTGTATATAATACACACATATTTGAATTACAAATGTAGCAGTCCTAAAAATACAAGGATGAAGCTAATAAAAGATTTTCTCTATGACACAAATAACATTAATGTTCTTCATAATGACAAGATGATGGAAAGAAATTGAACCAAAACATGATGAACTTTGGAATGTTTCTTTATAAATTTGATCATACTGTGCAACAGCTTATAAACAAACTTGATAATGTAATAAAAAATGAACAGACCTTATCAATTTCAATAAAACATGTTTAAGTATATATATATATATATATATATATATATATATATATATATATATATATATATTCCTTTATAATTTCATTATATGGAACTTTTTTAATTTTATCCATTTCATTATCAAGGATTAAATGTTATCATCAGTGTCATGCTAAAAAAAGTTTTATTATTCTTAAATTCAGGATGATGCTAATAAAAAATTTGTCTCTCTCACTCTGATAACATCAATGTTCCTGATAATGAATAGAAATGGTTGAAAATACTCAAAGAAAAACATTATGAACTTTGAAGACTTTTTCCACAAATTTGGTCCTGATGCATAACAAGTTATACACAAGATTCAAATGTTTTAATAAAAAATGAAACCAGAATTTATTAAGTATCTGTCTATATTTCTGAGATGAGCTATTATGTACACTATTTACATTATTCTGGCTATTGTCCTCATCAGGACACATGGCACAGTGGATAAAGGCGTTAGTTAGATCCAATGACAGGACCCAAAGAGTGTGAGTTCAATACCAGGTTAAGGCAGTTGAGAACTTGGAGAGGGGAATTAACAGGAGATAACTGATAACTGACATCCATGGCACATGGAACAAGAACAGTCTACCCCAGTGAGCAAAATAAAGGGTTCAGTTCGACATTCCAATCATCTGAAGAAGGCCAGAGCATACAACGGCCGAAAGGTTGTAATAAATATGATGACAAAGATGAGGAAAATAGTGCGAATAATGTAAATAGAATTTATTAATGTTTTTAATATTCTTTAAGGCTGTTAAAAATAATAGAAGAAATGTCTTTAATGAAAAATATTTCAAGCTTAAAGAATAAAAGAAAGCTTCATAAATATATGCTAACAAATACAAAAATTGAAGATATAAACTCATTCTTATGTTTTTAATACCATGACAAAACTGACCTTCACCAATGAATATTCAATTCGATCTTCTAAACTAGATGAGCGCCATTCTTCATTAACCACCGATTTTTTCTCCACATTATGAAGATTCTGTAGAAAGAAGATATATTTAAAAACATAAAACTGCGAATATAGTGAGATTTACTTGACCCCACCACTGAGTCAGGTTATGACACAAGGTCAGTTTTTAACATGGGAGACCGCTGATCTAAGCTGGTCTTAGCTTATCAGAGCTGATCAGAGTTGGTCTAAGCTAGTCATAGCTGGTCTTGGCTTGTCATAGCTGGTCCAAACTGGCCAAAGCCGGTCCAAGCTAGTCATAGCCATGATACCACCAGCACAGAGATGGAACCCTGGGGCTGGTAAACTGCCAATATAGTGAGTGTGGCAAGATGAATGATATACAGACAGCTATGAAAATGGTTACAAAATGTATTTAAAACTGAATGAAACAATACATAAATTAAAATTTAGATACAAACATACCATACTTTCTAGCTTCCTTGCTGAAATGCAAATTTTTATCAATGCCTATCTATCTATCTTTTTCTGCGCATATATATATAGTAGCAAACATACACCCTGTCTGAAGTTATTAAGCAAATCATATAAACTTCAATAATTCAAATTTGTTTTGAAAAAAATTGTCAAATTTTAAACAATCAATTTAGATTTCAAAACAAAACCTGAGTTAAAATTGTAGGTACAAAATGTTTTATTGAAGTTATTTGATGTATTCTAAAAAACTGCCATCTGAAGTTATTAAGCAAAACTAAATAATCACAATTTATTTCAATGAAATGGTAATAAAATCATTAAAAATTAATCAACACCTATAATAGAACAAATAACAAACACATATGATAAATCTTTGAATCTTTTACATTTTAATATAGTGACCTTTCTTCTCAATAACAGCCAGTAATCTACTATTCATTGATTTTGTTAATTTTTTTATTTCATCAGTTTTAATTGCTTCCCATAGGTCTACTTTGCTGTTAAATTGTTTACCACCTCCATATAATTTCATCTTCACAATTGACCACAAATCTTCGATTGGATTCAGATCAGGACTTAATGGTGGCCATTCCATTATCTTCTCTGATGTAAATCTTTTATGCTCAAAGAATTCTTGGGTTAGCTCAGACACATGAGAAAGAGCATTGTTGTTCATAAATACACATTTCACTTTGAAACTGCAAGACTGGGAAAATATAAATAAAATTGCAATAGTTAGCACTGTTCAGTTTAACTCTTTCATTGACTTTGAATGGTCCAATAAGGGTTTGGTCAACAATTCCAGCCTATATCATGACACTCATTGTTGCCTTCTTGTTGCCTTCTTTTAGACACCAGAACATCTGAATTGGACAAATCCATCCTTTGGCCCATCCATCAGGTCCATCAAATGTCACTTGAGATTCATCCATGAAAATTACTTTAGAAAAGTCAATTTTTGTGTATATCTTGGCCCAATTTTGATGCTTTAAAATATTTGCTTTAGTAAGAGGAGGTTGCCTAGGAGATGTTTTTATGGATCCCAATTCACAAAGTATTCTACACTTTTTGTCCTTTTTGACTCCCTCAATTCCAGTCTTTTCATAGATCTGAGAACTGATCAAAAATGGTTGTTTTGCTATAACTAACTTTAGTTTACATTCATCTCAAGGAAGCAAGTTTTTAAAGCCTTTTCCTTTGCTTTGAATTCTCAACTTACTTATTTTTTCAACAGCCTATTTTATCATTCAATACATTTAAGGCAAGCAGTCTTTGCAATAAAGTGCTCACTATCAAAGATAGAGCATTAATGGAATTAATACAAATATAAAATTTGCCACTTAACTGATTGATGTTATCTTCAGCATCCCAACTCTAAAGTTTCATACACTGACCCTCCAGTAATACTCATTATCCCCTAATGAGTGGATAGAATGACTGCTGGAGGGCCTGTCTCCAAAATTCTAGAGTTGGGCTGCTGAAGGTTAAATGATTAATTTTATATTTGTATTAATCCTCTATATGATAAAAATATAGTTTTAAAATATGCTATATTTATGAGTTAAAGTGCTCAATATCAGGGATAAAGCATATGTAAATATAAAAGTGGACATTGTCAACACCCAGCAGCAACAACTTGTTTCAAGCTTAAACTCAATCGTCAGACCATATATATATATATATATATATATATATATAACAAATGGATAAATATAATTGCAAGCGATTGTATACAAATACATATAAATACTGTATAGTGTAAGAAAAAAACTGTTCTCAATGTTAACAGAGTTATTTAATATATATCAAGAAATATACGTAATATCTTACATTGATTGCACAAATCTTGCATGCCAAAGAAATTTTCAAGTGTTGGAATTATATTTATTTTTATTTATATTTTGGGTTGATACCAGTTTTTGTTTTTTTAATTTTCTGGTTCTCACGAGATATATTATTGTTGGGGTGGAATATTATTGGAGTTAAAATCTTTAAATGAAATGTAATTTAATCATTAATTTGAATTTAAGACCAAATTATCATTTATTGATTGAAAATAAAGCTGGAAATAAGAAATATAAATTTTAAATTAGAGAGAGACGCTTGTTTTGAAAATGTAAGTAAACAAAAAAGGGACGTTTGAAAATCAAGGGGAGGAAACTCTATTTTTTTTCCCAAAAGTCAAGAGAGTAATTGATAATAATATTATTAAACTAAAACTAATATCAAAACAGAGAATGCCATGATAAAATAACGTAAAATAAAACAAAATTAAATGACGTACTACTACTACTACTAATAATAACAATACATATCAATGGAAAGAAAAGGATTTAAAATAAAATAAGAAAAATAAAGTAAAATGAAATAAGAGCCTTGTATAGGAATATATAAATATGTAAATAAACATGTTAAAATGTTTAAATGAATTGTAGTTAGTTTTGAATTTGAAGTTCGGCTCAAATCAACATTTAAGATTGAAAATAAGGTTGGAAATAGAAGTGGTGTTATGAAATCGGGTTAACATTATTTTTTTTCCTGGAATCAATAGTGTAAATAATAATAATAATAATAATATTCCTAAAAAAAATAAAAGTAGTGATATCAGCAATAATAAGATATGCCATGATAAAGTAAGACAAGATAAGGTAAAATGAAATTGAAGCCATATGTAGGAATTTATAAATATGCAAATGAATAAATAAAGCAAATAATGCAAATAGATGAATAAACAAACATGTTTCTAAATAGTAAGACTAAAGGTGAAAGAAAGAGACAACAAACAAAGCAAAAAATAAAAATAATAGTTATATACTGGAAATAGTAGTGATAAGATAATGGAAAAAATGAAATGACAATAATGTTAAATGCATTATCATCTAAAATTAACAATAGTTGTACAATAAAGGTAATCAGAAAGAAAAGTAAAAAATATTTAAAAGAAAAATATTAGAATCAATACTAGTAAATGTGGACACCCAGTAACAATTTGCATCTTAGTGGCATTATCACCTTACTTGGGATGAAATGATTAAAAAATAGATTTATTAACTCTTCCTGAGTTTCTATCTTACCTGGGCATAGGACAAGAGTTTGTCTGTACCTTCAGGATGTTGGTTAAACAATACATCTTCACAAAGTTTCAACAATATTTTGTCAATATTTGTATAAACTTGCAAGGCAGCAGCATTTACAATTCCCATGTCCATTCCAGCCTGGAATATAAATGAATTGATAAATGAGTAGAATTGATAACCAATCAAAGACCTGTAGACATGAAATGGTTAATTAAAACAGTTCAAAGAAGCAATATCATATCTTATGGGAGAGAAAAATGGTTTTTGGTTTTTGTTAAGCCTCCATATGATTTTCTAAGCATAACTGAACGTAAGGGACACCCACCATGTATTAGTAGTGAGTCAGAAATCTTTTCAGATTTGGTAAATAAATGTCAATGGGAATTTAATTTATTTTTTTAACACTTTCTTTTGTTTTGAAAAAGAAAATAGAATTTTTTAAAGTTGTAAATATAATTTTATTTTGTTCTGTATTTTTTATTTTATATATTGTAATTCATTTTAATCTTCTTTTCATTCTCAAAGTTTGTGCATTTTATTGTAAATATTTTCATTCTTTTTTATTTATTTTACTTTGTTCTAATTTCTTCTACCAGATATATCAACTTTTGTTCAATTGAATTTTCCAATTAATTCTTGTTGCTGAACAAATTCAACACACTGTTCTAGTGACAACTTTCCCCGTTGTAAATGCATTAGAGTCATTTGCCAATACTCCTCATTTTGAAGGCCGTTTACCAATTTCATTTGGATCAAATCCTCTTCAATTGACTGGTTTTCTGATCCCAGTTTCTCAAATTCACAATACTTAATGGCCTGTTTTAAATATATTTGACAACTAGTTCTGTTGTAACCTAGGAAAGGTTACTGAATAGTATAGTCACACGAATGCTGGTAATGAATGATGATACTTAGAACAAGAACAACACATATAAGATTCACGAGCAGAGCATAGAAGCAGTCAACTGCTAGAAGTGAGTCAAGTGAATTCCACAATGAATCTCCAACTGTAGACCAACATACACTACTTACTACTGTATTTATGTGAATAGGGACATACCCATTATTATCCATAGGTATGCTACAACAAGTTCATTAATTTTTTGAGAAATATTCATAATAAAAAATCTCTCTGCATTCACTAGTTTTTTCTTGGATACTATATTTTTCACTATTAGTTGACTTATATCATCAAACATCATATCCTCCAATTGTCTTGGGTGTGCGGCTGCTGATAATTTTATAATGGCCTCACAACCAGCAGTGACCAACAAAAGATCTGTTATTTGGTTTTCTCCCCAACTGATTTTAAGTCCTTCAGCTTTTTTGTTCTAGCTTTAGCTACTAGTATCCTAAGCTACACTTGTGCATTGATAATTGTCCATTCAGTTCTTTAGATATTAACAACAATGCCATTGTATCATTACTGACTCACAGGAAGTAGTATGCACTCAACTGCCTCATGGGTAATAGCTGATACTTTGCATCTGAGGTGACTTCATATGTAAATGAGTCACCTCAGATAAAAGTATTCAGTGCTACATTTATTGACAGGCATAATGAGTCTGCCAACAAACAAAGAATGTGAAACCATAAAATATATCAACTTTTTTTTTTACAACTTACTGCAATTGCATGATGTAAGAAAACACTGTGCATGGCTTCTCGGACAGGGTTGTTACCACGAAAGGCAAATGATAGATTTGATACACCACCACTAATCCGTACTCCAGGAAGAGAAGACTAGAAAAATATAAAAAACAAAAAAATACCTCAAAACTGAGCTGCAATTAAAGAAAACCTTTTTCTAAATACACTTCTCTTTTGAAACGCTTTTCTAAATAGTAAAACAAGTTTTTTTAAATACACCATCCACTTTACATATGTATGATTGTAAACTCAGAGATCTTGTTTCATTCTTTATAACTTGCTACAATTTAATTATTTCATATTTACAAGGTATGTCTGTAAAGTATCCAGTTATTTACTATTAATAAAAAAAAAAGTAGCCTACCTAAGACAAAGATGATTTAGTCCCTCTTTAAATTACCTTCCTTTAAACTTGAAACAATTATCCTCGTGTCAATTTGACTTTTCAAAATAGTATAAAAATTCCTCTTTTGTGTTTGCTATCAGTCACAATATTTTCCCTTTCATCTTAGTAAAACAATATTTTGCCAAAAAATCTGTAATGAGACCCTTTAGCATTTAATGTGCTCAAAAAACCTGCCCCATAAATATCAGCTCTCAAAGTCTCATTGTTTCTCATCAAAGTCTCACTGTTTCTCATCAAAGTCTCACTGACTGCATGACTTCCTGCATTGTTTGCAATGATGTCATCATATATTATGGCAGAGTATACATGGAGCAGGTTAAAGCATGTTGAACATTAAGAGCCAATATTTACAGATTGGTTTTGTCCAGTTTGAATGCTGAAGGGTTAAATGTGACCTTCATACAATTTCACTCAATTGCATCTTACTGCTGACTGAATAACCCTATAGGAGAGTGTCCATTCACATATGCACAAATGGTTCTTAAGATACTCATAATGGATGGATACATTCCAGACAGACTTTGAAGTCTGTGAACTAAACTGGTGAGATATAGATGGTCAGTTAGTAACTAGAATAAATTACAGACTGTATTCAATGTTTGAGTTATTATAGCCTATCTAAATGAGTACGATAATTAAGACTTACAGAAAATTCTGATTTCAAGTTGAAACTTTAATTGTTTTTATAGTTTTGAACATAGAATAAAAATAATATGTTCATTGCTTCTTTCTGCTTCAATAAAAACTTGAATGCTGAATTATTTTAATGCATATCTCAAATTAGACTCCCGTTCTTCATTATTGATCTATTGATTCTAAAAAAATATATTTATCAGTGGTTTAATCAAATCAAAGATTGGACATCTGGACACAGGCTATCTACATTTTTTGCTACAGAAATAATATTAATGAGAAGCAGATTATATCTAAATGTTTAAAATAAAATATATATACAGGTCAGCTTGACTAATCTTATTGGAAACTTTACACTACAACAAAGTAACTAGTTTCAATATAAAAAATTTCACTTAACTAAGTGATGATATTCACTAACTGCCCCATGCAGTCGGATGTGGCACAAGGCTAAGTTTATTGTGGGGTATCCGAGCCCGTAGGCTCAGGCAAAAATATCCCTGTAGACCCCAGGCGAGACTCTGCCCTTTGGCATAGCCCTTGTCTGGGTTCCTCTCTGCCCGGGGGCAGAGAGTTTGACAAGCACACTTCGGAAGTAATCCGGATATAGCCAGTATCTAGCTGAGTGATCCCATTCTTAGCTATATACTGGCTATATTTATAGCAGTCATAACATCATTAGTAGTGGTAGTAGCAAACACAAATTTACATAATATTCTGTCCATCTAAAAGAATTCAAAATAACTATTTGTTATTCCTAATCTCATATTATTTGATACAAAATGTATCTTCACTGACTTTTGGAGCAAAAGTGTTAGTTTGAATCAGTTCTTAATGATCCAAATGTTGAATTTTCAGGCACTTCTGTTGACTTGCTCACTGAAGACAACTAATTATTAATTTTCTCTTCTAACCTTACTATTTTTTATTTTGTGACCAGTTTTGACTGACTCACTCCAACAAGTTTCCAGCTTAGTTATTGTAAAGTTAAGAAGTGGCATTTCTTCAGCCAGTTCCTGTAAAAAAATGGTTAACCTCATTGGCATAAAGTTCAAACTTATTCTGACATATATGACATCACATTAAAATCATGTCAGGTTAAGACAATCACATAGGAAGCAAAGTCATTTGGGGGCTGGTTTCCTTGAAGTAACAGTTAATGAAGGAACCTGTATGAGCAAAGTTACCCACATCATAGTGTTTCAACCTCAGAGGGTTAGTAATATTGATATACAGATAAATTCCATTGCACCTTTCTACATCACCATTTCTTTGTGGATTACAAGCAATCAAATGTCTGATTCCTAGCAGTCATGTAGACAGGTATTCCCTTCATTAGACATAAATTGGTTAAATAGTAGGGTAGACTAAGCAAAACCAAAGGGAACAACAAAATTGATACCATCGATGGCTTCAGAGGCTGTGAATTGATTGATTGACTGATTTTTTTTTTATGGCTTATTAAAACCAGAAAACATTTTTAGATTTACTGGTACAAGTCCTACTAATTAATCCATAGGTGGGGGAGAAGAAGTGGATTCATACCTTTCCCAAAGGTATTTGCACATAAGTAAATATAAAAAACCTGACTGGTATTGGAACTCGGCTCTCCAATTTTAAGAGGCTGTAAAGACTTATTTTTTTTACTTACTGGAATTTAATAAGCACTAATGTAAATCATTCTCTACTATTTCTATTTAGATATCTTTTCTAATAAATCATTGCTGCTTGGTAGCAAAATATGTATCTAATACAACATTTATTGTTTGTGAATATTTGATATCCATTTATTTCTTGTAGTTTTCACTGCCAGCAAATAACATCTGAGCTCTCTGTGTTGATACACTTGTATCGATATTGCCTTTTACTTTCAACTCTATGAAATGAATGACAATACCTTATACTCAAATTTGCTTGTGTGTTAATAAACAAGTTTCACCAGCAATGTACAGTCATATATATTTTTATAATCCAACAAGATTTATAAGGTTTTCTAATAAGCAAAGAGAAGAAGAAGAATTGACAGATTGACAGTTGACAGAATAGAAAATCCAAACATCATGTTCAAATTACAGATGAACAAAATTTGTGCCACACTAATTCTCTTACTTGAGAATGGTATAACTCTACATTGCCTAACAAGATCAGGCCTAGGGCTATTTCCTGTTGTAGGTACTATCCAATTTACTCCATGTTATTTGTAGTGGAGGAGATGGGCACAAACAAGTCAACCCATTAACCCAAGAAATTATTCATTGATGCTCTACTATGTCATGAGTTTATTTCATTGAAATAAGCAAGGTTGGTGTCTACTACCCTCGACAGTACAAAGAAAAAAGCAAATGTTGATAAGATAGCGAGGGTTAAAAAGCACTGCCCTGGACACCCAATCAGGTTTGCCCCACCCCCCATCCTGGATGAGGGTAAGGCATGGGGAGCAAGCTTGATTGTGTGTCCAGGGCAATGCTATATTATCAACATTTAGCTTTTTTCTACCTACATTTATGTATGTTACAAGTTAAAGCACAACTGACTATTAAAGGATGAAAAGTTTTCATGGTTTTTGACGTCATTATGGGTTCTTTTCTTTTTTGTCCAAATCTGTGAATTTGTCTAGCTTATGCTAAATCGCAAAAAAACACTATATTAAAATCACTTTTACCCATAATGTTGAATGTTTTAAAATTATTGAACTTTTTCAGAAGAAAAGATGATGTTAAAAAATTGTCACAAAAAATTGTTGAATTATTTAATATGTAATGTTCTATTATGACATGTCTATAATTTGTATTTAGATAAATTATTTTTAATTTTAATTTTTTAATTGTTCTAGTTGAATTGTTCACCTATTTTGCATATGATCCATTATTGTACATAATTAGGTTATAATAAAATTTGTATTTTATATGAATACTACCTTATGAAAATTGAGGTGTAGTTGAATGGGAGGCCCCATATCATAGATGAGGGCATACCATAGATTGAGGGAGGGGTCACAAGTCCCTTCTTGGGAATAAGCATAGATTTATATAATTAAATGGCTGTGTTATTTTCTCAATGTCTCCAAGAAATCACTGGAGTTAATTTCTTTATTTGATTTCACCAAGAATATTTCTTCTTAAGTAAATAGAATTATTTTGCCAATTTGCAACCAATGGTGAGTTTAAAGTTTGTCAGACTACAAATCCAAACCCTATAATTTTATGCTGTTTCAAATCTTGAACTAATTTTATAAACATTCACTTACCTTGATAATTCTGATTGATTCAATGAAATTTATTCCATAAACATTATGACTTTCCATTCCGGTTGCAATAGTCAAAATATTGGGATCAAAAATGATGTCTTGTGGAATGAACCCAACTTTCTCAGTTAGAATCTTAAATGACCTTTGACAAATTTCAACTTTTCTCTTCACATCAGTTGCCTAAAGAATAATAAAAAAATTATCTCCCTTGGAAATGGATTAGACGTACATTTAATGGAAATGGTTAAGTTAATAACAGTAAATATTTTTTGCATAGTATGTACTTTTATACAGTGTGTGGTATAATTGCCAATGGTTAAGCATAATTGTAAAAATTCTTATCAAGCAAAATTGACAATACTGACAATATTCTCAATAAATAATAATAATAAGAGGAAGAAAAAAGAACAGGGCAAAATAATATACAACAATCAATATATATATATATATATATATATATATAATTAATATATATAATTATAATACAGGGTGTTTCAAAAAGAATATGCCAAAATCATTACACTGTTTTTTTTAGGTCTATAGCATTGTAGTGGACTGAATCAGTGGTTATTTGATAGAGTAGTTCTCAAAGTTTGATTGGGTGTCAGTTTCACCGCTGTCGTTAGTATAACTTCCGGTGCAGCTGAATTGTGTGAAGACAAACCTATTTCGAAATGCTCCAAAACTGGCTATTCACTTTACTGCAAGCAGATTCGAATGACTTCATTTTTCAGCAAGATGGAGCACCACTCCATTGGCATCTCAGGGTTAGAGCTTATCTGAATGAAAACGTGCCTCAGCAATAGATTGGGTGGAGAGGTGCTAAAGACCTTGCTCTCTGTGCTTGGTCTGCCAGATCCCCAGACCTCACTGTGTGTGACCATTTTCTTGTTGGGGTATGTTAAAGACCAAGTTTATGTTCCAGCACTTCCAGCAAGTATCGATGACTTGAAAGATCAAATAACAGCTGCAATCAACACGGTGGACCGTGACATGCTGAGGCGTGTTTGGGAGGAATTCTCATATCGGCTTGATGTTGTCCGCACTGCCGGTGGTGGCCACATTGAGCACTTATAAAACATGAAATGAAATTTGAATGTATATAAAACACATGTGTTCATGCTAGAGGTTTGTAATTTTTTTCGTTTTTAACACATCACGTGATGATTTTGGCGTATTCTTTTTGAAACACCCTGTATATTGCACATATAGTGCTGGTGTTAATAAAACAGTGCTTGATGTAATATATCAGAGCTATTAAGTATATAATAATAAATACACATATTATCCCTCACCTCTAGCATGACTCAAAGTTTTATACACAAAGCAATCTTCAGGTGCTGAGTATAAACTGACTGTTACGTAATTTGAATTTTAATATTTCTCGTTATCACAATGTTGGGGTAGTTATATATTATGCTTAGATTACAATTTGTTTTTTTTTGTTTTTTAAAAGAAGTAATTTCTCTTTAATTAAAATTTTTTTTAAAAATGTATATTCACATCTCAAAAATAATTTTTTAATTTAATTTTTTTTTCTTACATACAAAATCCCACTTATTTTAATTGACAAATATAATTTTTAAAATTAAGAAACTCTAATCTCAGCATAATATATAACTATGCCAACAATGTGATGACTAGATAGATTAAAATTCAAATTATGTAACGATTAGTTCATACTCAGCACCTGAAGATTACATTGTGCATGAAACTTTGAGTCATGCCAGTGGTGAGGATAATATATATATATATATATATATATATATATATATATATATATATATATATATATATATATATATATATATATATATATATATACAGGTAATCGATCAATTGGTATATAATCCAGATGGATCTAGTAATATTAATTATTAAAAACTGATCCACAGAGAGCTTGATATATTTATTATAGCAGAGTATATGTATTTTTTACAGCAATAAAACAAAAATTACCTCAACATACTATAGTTTATTTGAAGCCATTCTGTACACAAATATCATCAGCCCTAAGTGTCTGTTTTGTTTTAAATTTATTTTCAATGTCAGTTCTCCTCTGGTAAATGAGTTGTTAATGAAAAGGGGCTTGTGTTAGCAACTGGTAGAGGGTGTAAGGTATCTTATTCCAGGGGAAGCCATCTGGGGTTGGAGTTTATTTATGGCTAGAGCCTTTTGTTGTTTGTAGTTTAATATCAGTTCCTACTATGTGGCATTTCTTATATGAGCCCCAAGTATGTTTTCCTGAGATTCACAGTAAATAGTTTTTGTACTACAGGTGTCCAATATTATTAAAAAGTTATGGGGGATTTAAACTTAAACCCATTAAGATTCATGTAAATTAGATGAATTATAGATATATATATTGCGGATAATGCCTGAGCACCCAATAGAATAAATCATGCTGTCAAACACATTTATATGTGTACATATCTTCATACATACATGTACATTTACATATTGGGTGAATGAGTGAATCTATGTGTATTGATTCTCTTTTTAGGAAGTACTGTCCAATGTTTTAATTACTAAACATATCAACAAATAAATCCTCAAAATAAGATATTCAACAGGAAGTCAATCAAAATTAGCTACTCCTGTACTGATAATATGTACCAAATTATTAATTCCCATAATGATTACATGCAAAAACGGATACAGTAAAATGGTTATAGCATTCTGACTTCAGGCAAGAAAGAACAAAAATATGATAAAGAATTGTCCATTTTCATTGGTTAGGAAGAAATCCCAGCATAGATCTGTGGATTTGTCTATAAGTTTGGGGAGGGGAGGGTCCTAGCAGATTGTAGACAACACATTGTTCACTGAATGACACCATTTCAGTGTTGTTCACTTTTTATTTGCGTTTTGGTTTTGATAATAAAATTTCTCACAACACTGAATGACAGAAATGTTTTTTCAATACACTCATCATTATGATACTCTACTCACAAAAAATATGTTTTCATTAAAAGTTTTTTTTTTTTTTGTTATTTTATTAATGCTTCTAAATATGTAAATTATTTCAGTGGGGATAATTTTCATGTGACGGCTGCTTAATAACATCACTTCATACAGTGACGAGAGTGGCCAGTCATTAAATTTGTTTACAGCAGCCAAAGAGTGGTCACTTTTTTTAACCTGGGCCAAAGTGTCTGGGCTGAGGGCTAAAAATGAATTAGCATATTATATATAAGACCCTTGCTTTTTATTTCTTCTTACACTCTGCTTGCTGTGTAGATATATATGATATATTATTCTCTGTGTGGGGCATGTGTATACATGCATATATAGTTTTGTGTATGTTTTATTGATATAAAAGTCTCTCTGAGAACAAAGCATGTTTGTCATTCCTTTTCCTTTAAACCATTCCATTCCATCCATGAAGTACAGTGTTATTATATCACAAACATAATAATGCCCATAACGGGGGAAATACAAATGGAAAAATAAACCTTCCTCCCATAGTTCTCTCTCCTGTTATAATATAAAAACGATTTTATTGAACCTCTAATTCTGCATACATGACATAACTGATTTCTGAGACAGGGAAGTTGATACGACCAAAATTAAGTATACATTGCATTTCTCTCTCACACACACACACACACACATTAATGCATATATTTATATAAAAACATTCTCAGCACAACTCCCTTCCAAAAATCTGAACAAACATAAAAAATGTTAAGGCACATTATTTCTGGCTGAGAACTTTGCAGCACCGAATACCAAAGCTGATTACTTTTGATCATTAATCTTTACATTCTGAGGCAAGATCTCTTTGATATTTACCTGTCCAATTTCATCAAATGCCATCACAATGACTGCTGCTCCATAACGTTTAATTAGTTTTGCCTTCTGTATGAAATCTTTCTCTCCTTCCTTCAAACTGATGCTGTTCACAATGCATTTACCTTGAAAACATTTAAGGCCAGCCTCAATCACAGCAAAGTCAGATGAATCAATGCACAAGGGAACCTAGAGAAATTAAATAACATGACATGAATATCAAAAAGAATCACAACCATTAAAAGGAAAGGATCTGTTATGTTTCCTATTTATAGTGAAGGCTTCAATACTGTCATATATATATATATATATATATATATATATGAAGAAATATAGTCTTAAGATGTGCTATATTTATGGGATAAAGTGCTCAATATCAGAGATAGAGTGTGTGTAAATATAAAGTGAACATAGAAGTCAACATTTATAGGTGACAGTCTGTTTCATGCTAGATGCAATCATCAGGCCAATGCATCTAGCATGAAACAGCATCTAAGTGTTGACTTCTATATTACTTTTATATATATATATATATATATATATATATATATATATATATATAGGGTGTCCATAAAGTTTGTGTGCACTTTAAAAAATTTTAACTTTATTTGTATTTGCGATAGAAATAATTTGCAAAAGGATTAGAAAGAAGTAAATCTATATTTTTTAAAGTTTTATTGACATTTTATTTAAGTTTCCACATGTCCTCCATCATTAGCAATACAAAGGGTAATACGATTTTGCAGTTCACGGAAAACATTTACCAACTGATTTACAGTAATGCCTGAAATCACATTAGTTATTTTAAATCTTCTAATGAACTAGGTTTGGTTGCATACACAATTGTTTTCAAATGTCCCCATAAAAAAAAAAATTTATGGAGTCAAATCTGGCGAACATGGAGACCAATAAAATAGTCCACCCCATTAGGAAATTCCTGATTTAGAAACTCTCTAACATGCAGAGCAAAGTGACAAGGAGCTCCATTTTGTTGAAACACTGTGTTATAACATTTTTTTTCTATCACAAATACAAATAAAGTTCTAAATAAAGAGCACACGAACTTTACGGACACCCTGTGTATGTATATATATATATATATATATATATATTTATTAGCCCAGAATCCACCCTCGGGCAGACTTTAGGCTATCTATTGTGGACAGCTTTTGGGCCTCCAGTCTTTTATCTTCAGCACCCTATATTCATAAAAGTTATAGGAATTTAGAAATAATAAAATTATTTTATCTTTATTTCACACCTTAATTTGGCATAATTTTTCTTCATATACACAACTGATTTCCGTAGTTTTTTTAAATTTATTTTGCCTGTAATTTTTATTTTCTTTTAAAAATCCCCATTATTTATGATCCTTTCACATAAAGGAAGCCGAACTCTGTAATATTTCGAATACATCACTGTTAGCTTGCTAGAAAAAGAAAAAAAAAATATGGGCAATGCTTAAGTTTTAATTACGGTTTAATTAGACGATATCAATTGCAACTGTGATGAAAAGCAAAATTAAATGTTAAACCTTTAATAAAGAATTATTTTTTAAACCTTTCACTCTGTCCGATATTCAAATTTAACTTGAAATGAGTTATTTAATTTTTAATGTGTAACTACAGAAGTAGCATAATTTAAATGTATTAAATTACAGGAGGGAGGAGAAGAGATGATGAAGTCTGTAACAGTTTGTTTTGATGTCCAAACTCGTTAACACATAGATTTTAAAGTCCCTCCTCCTCATTCAAGATAGAAATGATAAAAAATGATCTCTGACAAAGCTTTAATAAAGTGAAACATGTTAGATTGAGATCTGTTTCCTACTTGTTCTTTATCCTATCATTTTATCAGATTCTTATCCAAACTTTATATATATATATATATATATATATATGTATATTACACACTTTAGCATCCAGAATGTTTCTCACACATATTTGAATGTTATCTGTTACTTCCTTATAGATGACATGTATCTAACCAATAAGAAATAACCAAACACAATATACCATTAATCTGCATCTCTTTGCTTTTTATCATTTCTATCTTGATCTCTGATGAAGCTTTATTAAAGTGAAACATATTAGATCGAGATCTGTTTCTGACTTGTTCTTTATCCTATCATATATATATATATATATATATATATATATATATATGTGTGTGTGTGTGTGTGTGTGTGTGTGTGTGTGTGTGTGTGTGTGTGTGTTTGTAGCAGCTAAGTGTTATATAAAAAGTACTAAATTAAAAAATTCTTTTAAAAAAATCACATAAGTTACCTCCTTTGCATAGCAGTGAAAAAATATTTTGAATTTACTGTGTTAACACATAACACATCCATAGATATGTGACCCCTGAAGATGGTCACAGATGAGATTGAAAGTACTGGGGAAAATAAAAATTATTTGAATTTTGGAATTTTTCTTGATCAATTTTCTACAGCCAACAAGAAATTAATTCATAGACTTGAAAGAATTAAAACTACATATATATACACAAATAAATATATATTGCCCAGGTCGATAGACATCAGTTACACTGTTTAAAAAGAGGGGATGGTTACTTGAACACATGTATCCACTAAATTTAATGTTTATAGTAAAATAATAATAATAATAATAATACATATATACACAAACAATATGGTGAAAAACTTACACCAATAAGTAAATAAAAAAGAAAAATTGTGAAATATAAGCAGTCAATTACTGATACTCACTGAAGAGTGTATGGATCGGTCTGCCTACAAAACTCTGGAGTTGGGATGCTGAAGGTAACATCAATCAGCTAAGTGACAAACTTTTACTTATATTAACTCTCTCTCTCACACACACACACACATATATATATATATATATATATATATATATATATATATGAATGGACATGGAGATAGTGTAATAGTTATCAGCACTGAAAATGGAATTGTAGAGACAAATGCAAATCCAAGTCGGTTCTGTTTCAGTGTTCTTTTATATGCTGTATCCTTTCAGGACATAGGTGATTATGGCTCTCCACAATTTCTTGTTCTTTGTAGCCCTTAGTAAAGTTAATTTTTTCACTATATAATCCCTATTCTGCCAACTGTTTACATAAGCTTGTTAGGTAGGGTTATGTGCTGCTTTACTTTGTCCCACTTGCCTTCAATATATCTTATGAATGTCAAATTTTCCAAGCCCTCCTTCCTCATTATGCTTGCAAGAAATTTCAGTTATCTCTTTCTGATGTTATGTATACATGCCCTTTTTCTTTCCATTTTCTTTAAAACTTCCTTGTTGCTCACACGTTCAGTCTATGTTATTCTCAGCATTCTTCTATAGAACCATATTTCTTTTGCTTCGAGTCATCTGTGAGGAGATTGTCCAGTATTCACTACCATGCAGGAAGACTGATATTACATAATGGTTCAGTACTTTTTTCTTTGTTTCTAATAAAATTCACTTCGCACTAATGCCCTTGGAGAAGGCATGAATCCATCTTTATTCAGCTATAGAGTAAATAGCAGGGCTGACTGCTCTCTCTTGACTTTGATGACAGCCAGTCTTGAAGGAAAACTCTCACAGCTGTTTGAAGAATTTGTGGTACATGGTATACCATTTCTATATTTTTAATTCTTCCAAAAAGTATGGCTGGTTCTTCACAAGCCTCCACCATATAATCAAATAATCTGGTTGGGTAGTGTAACAGTTCACTTCTAAACTAAAGTATTAGTCCTTCATATATTAGAATTGACAGGAAGATTCACCACAATCATATATGCATATGTACACATATATACATACGTATCAATCTTCGTCCAACCCCAGTAACTCTATCTGATATTAATATGTGTACTCTAAAAATTGAAAAACAACCAAAAATGAAAACAATAATTAAAGAAAGGATGTGTACTTTTTGCAAATGACTAACCTTTGCAACAGCTGGTTCTGAAGCAATATGGTTAACAAATGTTGTCATGGCTTCCACACCATTCAGCATCCCATCATCTACATTGATGTCAATAATTTGGGCTCCATTGGCAACTTGGTCTTTAGCAACGGACAAAGCTTCCTTGAAAAGGATAATAATTAGAATTAATTTTAGAAAATTTAATAATTATTTCTGTACCAAAATTTATCACTTTCAAAGTCACTAATTTTTCTTTCCTTCTTAAATATTGACAAGAGAATTATTTGTTAAAAGCAAGAACATGATTATTTTTAAATATAATTGTTCAAGCTAATTTTATGCTTGGTATATGAACAGATAAAATCTGCTAAATATGGCATGCAAAACCTTTTGCACAAAATAACAGCTTTAAAACTATTTAAATAAAAGGTTTAAGATATAACAAAATTCATCCTCTTTGGATTGGAATTCTTACAAAGTATTTGAATAAAACAATTTTTTAATGTTTTAATTGGTAAGCTAACCAACATTGGGTTTTAAGTAAGATATAAATAAAAAGAAAACTCATTTTGGGCTTTTCCCTTTGAGCCTTGACACCCTGATGAGTACAGTATATGCACTTTCACACAACGGCTGGTGTACCGGCTTCTCATGTTCAAAGGGTTAAGGAAATATTTATTCTAATATCAATTCAATCATGTTGATGATTAAAGATTGAGCAAAATGCAACGTACATCATTTACTGTACATCAGTATATCACTTAAGTTATGATAAAAACTTTTTTTCACACTATTGTTCACTCAATAGAAGACCCAAAAGTTACTCAAGGTAGATGATTACTAAACGAGATTGTTTTATGGATATAAGAAGGGGAGGTAAGAAGTGCAAATTATGAAGATATCTAGGATAGATAACAACTGAACTTAAGACTTGAAGAGGTTAAGATTGTAGTGATCGAGGCGATATTGTCTGAAAAACCTGTTCCATAGAGCAATGACTCTTGGGAACTTTCCTTCTTACCAATGAAATACAAAGGGCAATGAGGATGGTTCAAATCCAATGGATGTGGCATGGCAAGTCTTAGCTGTAAATATCTGAACTGGTGAAACTTATAAATGTAGCTCATCAGAACATGATTCATTTTTTATATTTATCAAAGATATGGACATTGGCATGAACACTTTACCACAGACCCTTATTACTATAGTGAGTTTAATCCTTACTTAGTATCCCACAATTGTGGCCTTATACCAGATTATGCTAGAATTAGTAAATAATGGCAAACACTGCTGTTTAATTAAAGTAGATTTACCTCATAGTTTTCTTGTTTAATTAAAGTGGCAAATTTTCTGAAACCAGCCACATTGCATCTCTCCCCGATGTTAACAAAATTAGTATAAGGACCAATATACATAGGTTGTAAACCTGAGAAAAGATAAAAAATTAATTTGAGATATTGTTCAAATGATATTTTTCAAAAGTATATATGGGTATATTTTTTATAAGTTTGAAAAATTTTCCATTGCCCTTTTTTTTTTGAAGAAAAACATGGGACTGAACAAAAAACAGAAAAGCATTTCTTTTTTTAAAATAAAACATAGGGAACTTTTGCACACACTTAACATAAAAACATGTCATTGAAAAGAAACATGGCAAAAAATTACTCATTTTAAATGTTTGCATGAACCATCACAAAATCTAAACTTGGACCATCACAATTGGACCTTCAACATGAACCTCATATGTTGCATCATGTGCTAGGACATGGCATTAGAACCAACTTGAATTGAACCTTAAGTTGCAAAAAAACACAACTATTGTGAATTGCAACATGTTCTAATGGAACCCAAACTTAGAACTGATGTGAATTATACCATTAATAATTCATTATAATCATACCATTATAAATTCATTATAATCATACCATTAAAAATTCATGTGAATCATACCATTAATAATTCATTATAATCATATCATTATAAATTCATTATAATCATACTATTAAAAATTCATTATAATTATACCATTATAAATTCATTATAATCATAAATCCACTCTATGAGTATGCTTACCACTTTAGAAAGTTCACAAGTGAACTGAGAAACTCTTGTCTTATTCTTAAGTATAGCAAAGTCATTTGCATGGGTGGTAGAAGGACACCACTGAATGCTCGTCAGCTATATCCACTGCCCACCATAATAAATCTATTTTTCTTTGCTATTTTACTCTAGATAAAATTTAATTTATTATTCATTTTAAACTAGTATTTCTACCATCCTAATTTCAGTGGCTTTTTTTCTTTATTTTTTTCAGAACTCACAATTCACAAAATATCAATCTGGGACTTACAATAAAAAGCAAGAAATTTAAAAAAAAAATCATATCACCTCATGCAAGGCAGTAAAGCCACTAAGACACAAGGGGTTACTGAGTGTGAAAGAATACAAAAAAAGAGAAATATTATTAAGCAGCAAGAATAATAAAAGAGTAATCAGGAAGACATTAGTTAACAACTAACATTGCATTTACATTTTTGAAGATCAAAGTTGACTGAGAAGCATGGAGCCGGAAGAGAGTTCCACAAAAAAGAAGTGCAAGAAAAGCAACTGTTAGTATAGAATTTATGTAAATTAATGATACATTGCTACCAATCTAGTATTGTGCTTAAATTCATAAAGTCTAAATACCATTGCAAAGAGTTCATTCTAACAGTATTTATAGAAAATTCACAGGGACGCTACATTACAGTGGTGAGAAAGTAACTGAAGCCAAGATGTCAGGTCAGGACCAATAATATTGCTGATTCTTCTTTAGATTTTATCAAGAATCTCTAGATATACAGCAGGAGGAGCACTGGACCATTTGTAGCAGCAATATTCAAAGAATGGATGAATGGTAGACATATAAATATGTAAGATAGATTCAATAAGGGAAAAATTGTCTAACGTGACATAGTGAACCAACTATTTTATTAGCTGACCTAGCAATGGATTCAGTATAGTCTTTCTACTTCATGTCATCAGAAAATGTAAGCTGAAGAAGCTGCAACAAGATACTCTCATGAAGGTTAACATCAGCCATGCTGATAGGAAGTAGAAATGGGTTTTAAGATGATTGATAGAGAGATGTTTCATTTTGGAGGCCTTAAAATTAACAAGCCTTTCCTAACAACAGAGTGTAGGTCTCTGTCTATATTTCTGAGATGAGGTATTACGTACACTATTTACATTATTCGGACTATTGCCCTAATCTTTGTCGCCATATTTATTACAACATTTCGGCCGTTGTACGCTCCGGCCTTCTTCAGGTGGTTGGAATGACACATGGCACAGTGGATAAAGGTGTTAGTTAAATCCAGTGACCGGACCCAAAGAGTGTGAGTTCAATACCCAGTTAAGGCAGTGGAGAACTTGGAGAGGGGAATTAACAGGACATAACTGACAACTGACATCCATTAAACAAGGCACATGGAACTAGAACAGTCTACACCAGCGAGCGAAATAAAGGGTTCAGTTCAACATAACAACCACCTGAAGAAGGCCAGAGTGTACAACAGCCGAAACGCTGTAATAAATATGGCAACAAAGATGAGGACAATAGTCCAAATAATGTAAATAGTGTAGACTGTAGGTCATTTTTGAGATCAGCTGCCAATTTGACCTTATCAAACTGATCAGACTTACTATCGAGATAGGAGTAAATGGTTGACATCAGCATCAATACCAAGTTGAGAGCTGATATCATCAGAAAGGTCACTGATCAAAATGAAAGAATAAGGATAGAGCCCTGGCATTAAAACACAAAGATCTAGAAGAGTGGCCAATGAGGACAACTCTGGAAATACCATAGCCTTTCAACTTATGAAGAAGAGTAGTATGTCCAAAGCAAGAGCCTGAGTTTCACCAGTCTTATCTGAAGCTTGATAGACTCTTTCAGTAATAATCATTTAGTCCATCAGCAATTGACCTAGAGAAGCAAAAGCCATATTGCTTGTTTGAAAGAAGGCCCTGCAATGTAAGATGCTTAAGCAATTCAGAGTTGATTAAGGCCTCTAGTGGTTTGTTAAAAAGAGGTAGAAGGCTAATAGGCAGATAGTTCAAAGGGTCAGATGGTTCACCTCAGTTCTTAAAGACTGGAGCAACAGAGGAGGATTCCCAACAAGCAGGTAAGCAAAAAGATAAACACAAAAGAACAGACAATGCTTCATCTAAGAAATTGGAATAATATTACAAAAATTTAACTTAAAAAAACTAACATTAAACATTTCACTGGGGTTATGAAAAAAGTGAAACTGATCCATTTGAATCTTTGCATTTAATTTTGTTATCTTAAATACAACTACAGTACAACAAGTATGAAATTAACCAACTACAAAAGCATTTAGTCACATTCACAAAATTAATATAAAACATTAACATTAAATTTCATATAAGCATATTAATAAGACTCTAGCTTAACGATGAAAAAATAATTTATTTTACACAAATATAAATTTTTCAACATTACTGCATTTAATATAGTGGTGAATATTAATTATATGGACTGAACATTATATAGTGAAAATTTCAGATCAAAATTCAACTAATAACTGTGTCAGGCTTCAGATTTATTGATTTAGATTTATATATTTCTGAAAACAAAAATACATTAAATTTTCTCAATAGTGAAATACATTTTTATTCTTAAAAGAGTAAAAAAAAACACATGACTAAAATTTACAAAGTTTTCAAATGCACACAATTTCCTACCTGACAACTGTAGAAATGCAGCATGTATATCACCAGGCAACTTTCTAGGAGGACAATCAGCCACTGCCTCAGCAATTGCTCTGTTAAATAAAAAAAACAGCAGAAATAAGCAACATTCAATGATAATGCAATGTATATACAAAAGGGTAAAATTTGCAAGAAAATCATTTATTCAATTGATTAAATCTGGCAAATTAGAAACATTCACCAAATCTTACTACATATGCCAAGTGTAACATCTATATTGTTTGTAACTATTTTGTTGTGCAAAATTGGCAACATTGGCAACACCAAGTGGCAGTATCTTTGATAGGACAATGACACATGATGATAGAAGATGAAAAAGTAGACTTCTTGAAAGCATAGAGAACCACAATCATAATTAGAAAAAAGAATTTATAGAAAAACATGTGAAAATCTTCTAATAAGAGTAACAATATATCTATTTCATATATTCCATCATTTTGGATGGCATTGGCAAATTAGTTGCATAATAAAATGGAGTTAATGAGAAAAAAAATATCAAAAAACTTTTATAGACAACACATTTCACCTCCAACTGGTAAGTGTCTTCAGGACAGAATGAGACCCTGGGTTTAAGGAAAATATGTTGGAATTTTTTAGGAAGGGGTAATAAATAACCGTATCAAATGCCACAGCAAGAAAGCGTTTTTTCTTTTTTTCATATTTAAGGCATTAACATCTGCTGGCTTAGAAATTAGCCAATTCCGAGTAGATCTCTGTTTTTTTCTCTGTTAGTTTGTATACCACATTGTGCTACTATTGCACTTGCAATGATAGGTGATATTGTATATGATCCCAGTCTGAGATTGACCTTGGAGAATTGTGAAATCCATGCACTTTCAATGTATTTTCACCTTAATGCGTGACACTGAGGCTATGAGGTGGTTAAATGTTAATTCTGAACAGAAAATTGTTAAGCCCAAAATCTCTTTCTTGAGAGAATAGGAAAATATATCAATAATGATGGGGAAAGACAGACAGGAATTATATTTGCATTGACAAAAACAAAAAAAGAAACAAACCCTATTTCTAAGGGTCAAGTTATGAAGAGCAATCATGTTGTGACAAGCAGGTGGTCTGATTTGTGTTTTCACTAAGACAGCAATCGACCCATGGATGGAGGACAGTTTTGTCGCTTATTTGAGAATTTAGGCAAACAAATATATTTTCAGGGACAAAAACAAATTGGTAAATAATTTGATCTCTCACTTGGAAGGTTAAATGAGAAGGCAGTAGTCTGGTTTGTGTTTTTGATGGATAAAGATAATTCTATGAAAATATAAAGGTGTTGGAGAATTGAAATTAATTAGAATAAACTACGCCAATTCATCTACGCACTTTAAAAAATAGATTTGTTACAAAGACTGTTATGCCAGCCCTGAAAGATAGACAGAGGTGGAATGCCAAGAGGCAAGGAGAAAGAAGAAGAAATTAGCACTGCCTGTGTGGAGTGGGAATGCAAGATGTGAAGTGAAGCAAGTTGGAGTCAGAGGAGGAGCAATCCCTGTAACTACACTCAAGGAAGGTGGATAATTTTCCAAATTTGGGAATCAAAAATAGGGAACAAAGAACCTTTATTGGGATTACTCTAAAAAATTGGGGAATCACCAAATCCCCAGAACCCCTTGGCCCCATGCTTGTTTTGGGCCAAAGTGTATATAAGCACATGGCTTTGGGAGCTCAGAGATTTGGGTTGTGAATCCCATACTGAGGGCCTTTGGAATTCACATCAGCTGCCACCAGATTTCCTGATTCTAAAGAACTTTGAACCCAGTTCCTCCAGAATTTTAGATGAGGCCCAGTGTAACTATAGAGATTGATGCAGGAAGGGTTAATTTTTATTGCACCAAGAACGATATAAACCAACTGAAGATTGACCTCATGAATCTTTTGTTTTATTTTTTTGAATACATTTCTTCCTTAATATAATACCCCTGCCATGGCTTGAACCAGCACTGTGATTACTGTAACAGTCAATCTTCCACTGCTCTGAGATCAAGAAAACAACATGTGCAGAGTTGGTATGGATAAATACGGCAAGCAGCCAACAACCAGCTTGAACCAGTGTCAGCATTGACCAGTGCAGAGTTAACCCTGTGGTTAAAACATTGTCCTAAGATTCTGAGGAATGGAACACTAAATTTGGTTACACCACCAGGTGTAGGTGGCAGCTGAAGGAGTTATAAATGAATTCATTTTCACCTCTAATCTGGCATTTATTAGGTTAAAATTGTGCTCATTTGTGTTCCAGTGACCTACCAGTGTATTTAATATGTTATTCAATAAATCCATGATGAAAGTTGGGAAATTAACCAAAATATTTAGTTAAAAAAGTATTTAAAAAACAATGCCATGTCCCTGAAGGACGTGAGCAATTATAACTCTCCATAGATCATTTTTTTTATTATCAGTTAATTGCTATAAATTCTTGGGAAATATATTGGAATGATTTCCTTCTCCATGGTTTGGAATTCTATTAGACTGGTTGCCAACTATGGCTAGAGAGCCCAATCTATTTAATTCATAGCTGAAGGAAAAGCAGATGGATTCATGCCTTTCCCAAGGGTATTTCTGCAAAAGTGAATGCAACAGGGTAGGATAGAATTTGGACTCAACTTGCCATTTCCACTTTTATAAAGTTTCAAACTCTCTTGCCTTTGTCTCTTCAGAAATATAAAAGAATTACTTTGAAATATGAAAGGAGAAAGAGTTGTGAAGAAGAAGGCCAAAGAAATTTTCTTTTTTACTTGATATGACTGGGAGTTGTGCCACAGCAGCCGCCAACTATATTCAACAAACCATCCTTGGCAAAAGACTGAAAAATAAACCAAGAAAAATCATGTTTTATTAAAGTGATAGAAACAGGCATAACTTTAAAATACCAGAGTTGGCATAAAAATAGAAAAACATATAAGTAAAGGAAAACTGAATAAGCTAACTGGTTATTCCTTATCACTCATCTGAGCTTGATCAAAATAAATAAATAAAATTACACTGCACACTGATTACAAAGAAAATGAATACCACCCATCACAATAATATACTGAGAAAAATGTATCTTCCATAAAGAAGATCATATTAAGTTCACACTTACCTTCTGTTTACATTGGAATGTTTTTTGTTTTTTTTTGATTTAACAAAAATAATTTCAAGAACTTTTAGATGCTAGCTAGAATGTAATCTGCACAAAATGGAAAATATGTTCATTTGGAAGGATGCAGCATATTCTTGTATTTTTTTTATGTTCTGCAATTGCAGACCTGAATGTGTCGACAAAATGATTTGTGCAAATATCAACATATGGATATGTCGATACTTTTGCAAATCATTGTCGATACTCTCTAATAAATGACAGGATATATTGATTAATTTTCTTCTCTAAAAGTTCAGTGGTTCTACCTATATATGCAGTATTGCACTCACATTTAAATTCATATTTTACAGTGTTGGTTTTAAAGATAAGCAAGATATGTTTTTGAATTGATCTCAACATAGATTGAGAAGGAAATATAATGTGTAAAATGATCAAAGCAATGCCTAACATCTAGCAAATCTCACAATGCCTTCATGAAGATATACAAGACATTTTGGTGGGGACCAAATATTTTAGTCTTATGGAACTCTGCTATCTTCATATTAATGCTAAATTGCACAATGTCCAAATAATAGTCATTATCACCAAATATTTTTCTAATAGTTTCTATTTCCTGTCCTAATTTATTTGTAGAAAAGATCAACAAGACCCAATAGACTAAGGTTTTTACAAGATTAATTTTATACCATCTAGGACAAAACAAACCCCACCAAATATCTAATCTTGTAAACATGTTTTTTTTCCATCTATATTTCTGAGATGAGGTATTATGTACACTATTTACATTATTCGGACTATTGTAATCATATATATATATATATATATATATATATATATAATCATATTTGTTGCCATATTTATTACAACGTTTCAGCCTTTCAGTATCTGTCTATATTTCTGAGATGAGGTATTATGTACATTATTTACATTATTCGGACTATTATCCCCATCTTTGTTGCCATATTTATTACAACGTTTTGGCCTTACATTATTCAGACTATTGTCCTTATCTTTGTCGCCAGAGGGGAATTAACAGGAGATAACTGACATCCATTAGACATGGCACGTGGAACTAGAAAACGTAAATGATACCAATGGGTTATTGATCTTTATCTTTCTTTCACTTTTTCTGTCCAAAGGATTTCCGTATACATGCAGATATTTGTGACAGGAGATAAGATGTGAGTTGCTGTTCTGTTTTCCATTCAAAATACGTTGTAAAATGCTGTCCTCTTTCTTAAGAATAATGTAAAGCTGGACATTAAAAATTCAAGATGTACCGACCTCCCAATGTATTTTCTCTTCGTTGAAACGGTTGGATATATAATCAATAATTGCACTTTCAAAAAATGTACATCTAATTTATTTTCTCTTTTAATAAGTACAGAATTTTTTATATTGAACTGGTTGAAATTATTTCTGTGTTTAATATTTATGAACATAAGAAAGATACTATTAAAGGCATTAGATCCAGTGACAGGACCCAAAGAAAACTTGGAGAGAGGAATTGACAGGATATAACTGATAACTGACATCCATTAGACATGGCATGTGGAACTAGAACAGTGGGCGAAATAAAGGGTTCAGTTCAACATTCCAACCACCTGAAGAAGGCCGGAGCATACAATGGATGAAACGTTGTGATAAACATGGCAACAAAGATAAGGACAATAGTCTGAATAATGTAAATAATGTTTTTTTTTCCATACAAAGATGTAACAAAAGTGGAACTTTGTGTTTGTAACATTATATCCAAGAATGGTAAAGTAGCATCACTCTCCTTTTTGCCAGTGAAATTGAGGGTCAGATTCAAACTATTCAGAACTTTATAAAATACCTCCATCTCCAACTCACTATTATGAATTTAAGTTTTATGAAGTTTTGAATGATTACTAAGAGTTGATCAGAGTAATAAAAAGTCTGCTGAAATGACAACCTTCATGTGTGCCGACATCTCCTCTTCACTTTCATCATATTCACCAAAAGGATTTGGTAATCCTACAAAAAGAACAACATGAATAAATTTAAAATATCAACTTATAAATTTAATTTCAAATATATCCATCAAAATGAAACTTTCAAAAAACTTTACACTTGTTCATACCCCTATGTTTATCACTTTCTACCCTCATACAAAACACATTGATTTCACTACTTCAAGACAATTTGGTTTGGTTTGGTTTGTTTTACAGCATATCAACCTCAATGGGTCATTTAATGCCGACAACTTTTTTTTTTTTTTCCTGGTAATATTTTTGTTTTGTCAAAAATCTATTTCTGTTAATAATTTTTTCCTCAAAAATGTATAGCTGGTAATATTATTTTTTCAAAAACCTATAGCTGGTAATATTTTTTCAAAAATGTATAGCTGGTAATATTATTTTTTCAAAAACACTATTCTTTCAAAAACGTATAGCTGGTAATATTAAGCAATTAAAAGGTAGTTCCATGCTCCTCAAAACCTCCTGATCAGAGGCCTTGCTGTTGGATGTAGTTTATCGTCATACCCAGGATGCAGATGTAGTTTATCCTCATACCCAGGACGCGGATGTACTTTATCATTATACACAGGATGCAGCAGTAGTTTATCGTCATACCCAGGACGTGGATGTAGTTTATCATCATACCCAGAACATGGATGTAGTTTATCGTCATACCCAGGATGCACTTCAAGACAGGTTGCCACATTGAGCTACCAAGTAGCAAAACAGATACTTGAAAGTCCACAGTTGTTAAATTTTGAATTGACATTCTTTGCATTAGTATTCCAAGTTAACCCAGTTTATTTAAAAATTGGTGCCAAAATATTAGAACCAGTTCAGACCTTTACAGATAAGAGTCCTGCCATGTCATATCCACCTAATAATCAGTTCAGACCTTCACAGCTAGGACTCACCATGCCACATACAGTGGGATGAATCATTCCTTTTGTATTCCATTGATAAGGAGGAAGTTCCTTTTGGACAGCTTCTTCTCAAGACCAAACTCCCAAGAGGATGCTTTCCCAATCACTACAATTTTAACTTCTTGAAATTTAGTGTTAACCATTATCTTCTATATATCCTCATAATCTTCACTTTTTACCCCTTCTCTTATATTCATAAAACAACCTCAATCAGTAAGCCTCTACCTATAGTAAAAGTAAAATTAAAAAATTAGCCAGGCTTTCAAGAGTGGCTCAATCTGGCAACCTAAGCTTAAAGTTAACTTATTAACCGACAGATTCTTAAAAGTGTTGCAACCAAAATATTTTATCTCTGCTATTCAATGACAATCAGTAAAGCTGAATGCCAAAATTGTGACAAGGTTGCAATATTCCTGTCATAACAAGCAACGAGGATATAAGCATTGGAAAATCTAAGAATTCATGAAATTAAGTAGATGAAAGGACAAAGATTTTATTGTCTGCTTTGAAATTTATACAAGATTATTCTTTTCTCGTCAATATTATAATTTCATCAATGAGTAGACCTTTTTTTATAATCTTTTCTCCCCTCAAGCAAAACAACAAAGACATGTAGGCGATTACTGTGTGAATATAAGAAAAACATTTTTAAGAAGTGAAAACAATGAAAGAAAAGAAATTAAGAAGACAGAAGATTGACATTGCATTTAGATTTTTGAAGATCAAACTTGACTGGAAAGCAAGAAGCCAGAAGAGAGTTCCACAAGCAAGAAAAGAAATTATTAGCATAGAACATATTGTTACAACAAGCCATTTCAACTGTAAAAGGATGAGACATTGCCATCAATCTAGTAATGCATCTAAATTCATAAAGTCTAAGTACTAAAGAGGAATGTTCATCAGAACATTTACCATGAAATTATTTATAGAAAAGGCACAGGGAAGCTACATTACAGTGGTGGAATGTGACTGAAGCCCAGATGCCAGTTAAGGATGGATAACATTGCAGATTCTTCTTTGGACTTTATCAAGGATCTCTAAATATATAGCAGAAGGACCAGACCATATGTGGCAGCAAAATTCAATGCATGGACAAATGGTAGACTTATAAATATGTAAGATAGATTCTGGAAAGAAAAATTATCTAACACATCACAGAGAACCAAGTTTCCTAACAACAGACATAGCAATGGATTCGACAGAATCTTTCCACTTTATGTCAGCAGAAAACATTAACCCAAGAAGGTGCGATAGAAGTTAGCATTAGCCAAACTGATAGAGGGGAAAAAAGGGTTCTCTCAGATGATTGACAGAAAGTAGTTTCCTTTTTGAGACGTTAAAATTAACAAGCCTTTCCTTCTTCCAGTTAACAACAGAAAGTAGTTAATTTTTGGAATCATCTGCCAATTTGACCTTTTCGAACTGATCTGACTTACTGTTAGTATTAGGAGTGTAAACCTGAAACTATCTCGATGCAATATCCTCAAAGTCAACATGAAGAATACATCTGGCTTTCAATAACTTTATTGTAATATACAATATGATTGTGTCAAAGTCTCTTTTTCTACTCTCTCATATTTTGAATTCTCCTTGTTATTGCACCACCAGTGAGATAACCTTTCTTGTTCCTACAACCTAATCTAGTAGAAATGAGGATCCTAACTTACCACATTCCTCTCTCTTTAACTCAGAAACGTCATTTACAAATTCAGTCTATCAAGTGTCTTCCTGACTCGCATTCAATGTTGTAGCAGTGGTTTCATTGACATGAGCGCTGCTATTTAAGTGTCAGTATAAACTCTGTTGGAAAATATGCAACCCACTCATTCATGGCAAAATGGGTTTCATGAATTTTATATTTTTCACTTTGGTTTGAAAGTTGATCATCAAATCTGGCAGAAAATCATAAACATATCTCAGTTATAATAAAATGTAGTTCAGTCGTATTTTTTTCCAGTTTGCTTACTTCTTAGAAATCCCAATGTGCATTAAAATATTGAGAAAATAATTTACCTGCATTTGGGTAACATATTACAAATGCTGGAGTATTTTGGGCAATCAATTCAATGTATGGCCTCATGGTCACAGCTCCAAGTGAACAATTCAATCCTAAGCTGAAAAGAAGAAATTAAAATTAAAATAAAATAATTCATTTACATTTTAATATAATAGCCCTATTTTCTCAGTAATGCTTACGTTAGTTCTTGACCACTGATCATCCATTTTTTCTTGATTTTTAATGCAGAAGCTGTGTAGATAATTGCTAAAGTAAATTTTAGATTAAAAAGTATAAAAAAATCTGGCACTAATAACTAAAGTTTTTCTCTCCTCCTACTATTATTAATGAGTTTATATGGAATGACTAAATCAAAGCAGGTGTGTTATAGTGTAACAATTGTCAATGCACAACAATAAGAAAAATAGAATCATTTAAATGAACATATAAGCTATTTTGCTGGTCCCAGTAAAATAAACAAACATATTTTTAAGATTATTTTACCAGTCTCTGTAACATAGAACACCAGGCTATTTTGTGGGTAAATATTTTTATTATTATAAATACAGATAATGTTAAAAATAACAACACACAGATTTAACACAGAAGTTTATTTATTGTCACCATTATGTTTATGGAGCCTTGAGATCATCAGCACTGTGATTGTGTGAGTTGTGTACAAAGGACTTGAACAACATGGATTCTGTGGCCTGTAACTGTTGTCTTCAGTGGCTGCATCTGAAGTGTATTGGCAAGAGAACCATGCCTAAGGGCAAGTTTTGGATTTGCAGAAACTTTTATGCCTGAAGTGCTTAAAATATTCAGAGACTTTTATATTTCTTTTAATAATTGATGATGAATAAATGATTTTAACTTGTATTTTAACAACTGATGGTGGAAAAGATTTTAAATTGTCTTCACAATTGATGGTGAAAATAAATAAACTTCTGCGTTAAAACTGTGTGTTGTCATTTTTAATATTACCAGATTTCATAATAATTAAAATATTTAGCAGCAAAATAGCCTAAGGGTCTATTTTACTGAGACCAGCAAAATAAGATTAAAAGCATGTTTGTCTATTTTACAGGGAATGGCAAAATTGCTGCTTCCTTAAATGAGTCAAACTTTTGATGAATTTCTTTAATAAACCAAATGTTGCCTGATGTTCTGCAATTAAATGTTGCTATTCTTCCACACATTAAATGTTTCTATTATTCCACACATTAAATGTAGCTATTCTTCCACACATTATATATGTACTAGTATCTCTATCTTGTTGTATTTATCATTGTGTTTTGGTGAGTATATGTTCTCTGACCTTCTTTTGATATATGTCAGATTTGAATAGAATCCCTTAGATGTCCATAATGTATAAGCTATGAACAAAGATGAGGAAACTAGTCTGAACAATAAATGGAATGATTCTAAAATCATCATGTGCCTTTTCTGAACAACTCGCTGATGCTATCTTGTATAAATTATCATCATGTAAAAATCAGTTTTTCTAAATTCCATCAAATAGCCTTCATCTCTCCAACTTCTCTCTCACTTACTTGAACACCTCTCTCATTCATCATATGCTATTCTTTCTTTCCCTTTTGCTTAAAGGCAAATTGGCCAGCTATTCCCTTCCCAGACACATGTAATTTACTGTATTACACCATTAATTAATTCTGTCAGAAAATTACCTACAAAAATAACAATGTTTGTTATCATTCATAATATAACCAAAAGATAAGAGGGGTAATAGTAATATTAGTCATTTCCTTATAAAAGGAAACATTTGAGATTCATTCACCAAGGATTCAGTTCCCCACCACCTTTTATTTGATTTTTCTTTCTTTTTTGGTCCCAGTCTCTCAGAAGCATACTTTTTCAGGATTTTAGCCTTTAAGTATTCTGATCTCTCAGAATTGTAGTTTGATATATAGGTGTTTCCTTATAAGGAAATATTTGGTATTCATTGACCAACAACCAGTGTTGCCACTAGTTGAAATTTATAAAACATTTGAGATTCATTGACCATGCAGTCAGTAATGCTTTCAGTTGAAATGTTTCTCTTAAATAATTTTTCAGGAAAATAGTTTTCTCAAGTCCAGTAACTGTTATTGCTCTTTCCAATATTGATGGGGGTTTCCTTCCTAACCTTTTATTTGAAGTCGTGTGGAATGTCAACATCTTGATTATGTCATTATTTTCTCTTCAAAATATATATGATATCCATTTTAATTGTTGCTGCTGTTGAGAGTCCTCAAATGATGTGGTTCCTGTTATTTGGTACCAGTTCTTTGTGATTCTATAACACCAGTCCACAAAGTTCAAAAAAGGATAGTCTTCACCAAGACCTCCAAGCTTTAATAACTCAAACCCGTTTTTAATCATTGATCTGAAAAAGTGGTTGTATACTACTGACAGTTTAGATATTTCTGAACAGGTCTGGCACCGTGCATGGCATCCATATAAAAGTCTCAAGAAGTAATATTGCTTGAATTATTATTTTATTTCAGGTGTTGTATGTGCAGTGATCGCCTTTGCAGATTGCAGGACAGATTTAGAACACAAAATTGAAAAGTGAGCATAATGTTTGAAAAAGAGAATGCTTTCAGATTTAATCCAAAAATGTTTGAATTGCAAAGTTTTGTATTGAATGATAAATGGTGAATATGTGATTATTTGCAATCAGCTTTAAGATATTTCAAAAAGAGTTAAACATACCACATTGGGTTAGCATGTGAAACGCTTATAATAAATGCCTCAGGTGTTTGTCCAGAAAGTGTCCTTCCACTTTTGTCAACAACAGTACCTGACACCTGAAGAAAAAAAAAAAAACAGAAAACAAGTTCATAATTTATTCGAATTGGCGCATTTACCTTTGTCAGTGTTTTATAATAAAATATGAATGTTCAACAGCAATTTACCAGCACCCATGATTCCAACATTTTACAGAAGTAAAGATTTTGCCAAATTATCAGAAATCTACTTAATACTAATATAATAATGCACTTCATATTATGAGATTTTATTATCGTCAGCTTTGGATCAGTACTGCATATGCCACTAGCATAAAACTTATTAGTGTAGGGAGGGAAATCTGACTTAGTCTGTTGCATTCATTTTATACTAATACTCTTGGAAAAGGCATCAATACATCTCTTTTCCCCACAGCTATGAGATAAATAACAGAATAGACTCAGCTCTCTTGCCTTGGGTGGTATCCAGTTTAGGAAAAAAAAAAACTCTGAATTTTAAACTGTTGAAAAAGCAATGGGAAAACACTCCACTTTCTCAAGAAATTATAGCAATTCACACGTGGAAAAGGAAGCTGTGTAGAGACCTAATTACTTCTCAACCTTAAGCAACATGAAATTTTTACTCTTAGGTACCTGTAAAATTTCCCAGCATCCACTTTTTTTGAAAACAAAATACTGAATAGACATTAGAAAACCAACTTTTTAATGAAAAAAAAACTGTAAACTTTTCCACACTAATACCTTTCATATGGATACACATGTAGTATATGGATACACATGCAGCATATTACACACATGAAATATAGCAGTTATCAAAGCAGAAAATGGGCTTGCCATGTGAAGTTCAAATCCCAGCTGAGGAAGTTATGTTTCCTTTTGCCCATATATCCATGAAAAGGTATGAATCACCCTCTTCTCCCCTTAGTTATAGGAGACTAGACTGTCTATCACTGACTGGCAACTTGTCTAGGAAAAAACAACTCTAAATTCAAAACTGGTTGGGTATAAGGTTAGCAACCTGACCCCATTTTGCTACAAAAACCACAACAGTATAGTGGGGATGTGGCCCTACATAGAGAAGTCTACAGGATTAACATACAAAATACAATGTCTTCCATAGTATTCCTATCACTCTAGGGATCACGGTCTGTATAGAAATTTTTAGATTTTGTTTCTTTATCAAGTAAACAGATGACCAATTGCACACATCCACACATCCCAAAACTGAAGTAATCAAATATAAGAATGCAGTTTACTCCAACATAGAATTGAATTTATATGGACAAAAAGAAAAAGGGCTGAGTAAGAGAGAAGAGGAGGGAAACAAAATAAGAAAGAGGAGAAGCTGAAGAAAAGAGAAGAGAAGAGAAAGAGAAGAAGGAAAAGAAAAAATGGGAGAAAGAGAAGGAGAAAACAAAGAAATAGAAGGATGAAGTAAACACTGATACTCACAAAAATGGGGCATTTGATATCTTCTTTATCAAATATCTCTTGAATGGCAAACAATGCAGCCTGGAAAAAAGAAAATTTTTATTTTACAAAACAGCTTTCCACTTTAGTTTTCAAAAAAGAGAATACATCTTACACATATCTAACAGTTTTAAGTTTTTTTTTTTAATTTACTAAAACTTATTTCATGTACACATCTAAAGACTAGCTATGATTCTAATTTGTTATTAATATTATTATTATTATATATCATTATATCATGTCGGTAACAGTACTATTCAAACATAGCTTTTGTTCCAGATGTTATAATGCTGATGACAAATTTGATGAATTATTTTAAACTGGTCTTCAAGCTACTTGGAGAATTCAGAAAGTGGAAAGAAATTAAATATCTGACCAAAATTGCTTTAAGTAGTTTAAAATTGCTGACTTGTCCCTTGAAATAAAGCTTAGATGTGAATAGGCACCAGCTTAAAATTTTGATTCTTTAAAATACAAATTAAAAGAGAACTTGGCCACCAGCACTCAGAAACATTCAGAAGATAACAGATAACACATCTGTAAAATATTACATAAGCTTAAAAAATATATAAGCCCTTTTGACAGGTTTCCATGAACTTATAGTTGTGGAGTGAGTAGCCATGGTCAAATGCAAAATAAGTGACAGAATTGTCCAACAAAACAGAAATGACAATGTTTGAAATAAGCAAATACAAGAAAAAGCAAGGAAAAGAATAGGGCAAAAAATAATATTAAGCAAACAAACAATATATTCAAGGCAAATTAACAGTAATAAGGCAAAGCAACAGTCATAAGGCAGAAAGTTCACAAACTAAGAATTGGGATTGACACACAAAAACTAGTTCAGACAAGTGAACATAGCATTCTGACTTCAAGACAAGACCAACCGGGACTGAGTCAAAAGACACCAAGAACCGGCTATTTTTATTGACTAGGAAGGAATCCCAGCATGCATTTGTGTGCTTCTGCTCATAAATTATAGAGGGGCAAGTATTTTGCAGTCATTGCAGGAAAAATAGTTTAAAAAAAAACAAAACAGATATACTATTATCATCCATTTCTTGCATTCTCTATATTCATTGTATTTTTGATGACCAGCTATGACAAGTTATGTATTCAAATTTCTGTACAAGAAAGGTTTTATTTGATTTTATGATATAAAAACAACATAGAAACATGGAGCCAAGTTTTGTATTGGTGCCAAAAATCAGTGTTTAAGTCTCGATAAAAGCCAAAAATTATGAATATTAATATTCAAGGCAAGAAGATCCTTTTATTTGAAAGATCAGTTTTTAAAGCACTTTTCTTTTTACCTCTATTTAGCCTTCTATGCAGTATTAAGGTGAGCTTAGTAATATCATTATGACCATATTAATTATTGTTGCATTTTGTGTCAGACACCAATGCTACATCATAGACTGCATCAATGACAAACAATTTGTTTTTATTTGTTTTATTTCATGAGGCACAATAGTTGTAACATCATTTCTAGGAGATAGAGAGGACAAATTTCAACCAGCTCATCACTGTGTGCTGGTTTGTCTCAGTAAGGAACCTGTGTTTGGCAAGATGTCTTGACCCTTCTAATTCTTGCCAGATCTGTTCTTATGCCTTTTTGGTCTTACATCAAAACTTAAACAAATACAATCTATTACTGTCACAGAATTCTATGTCCATAGGGTTCAAACCACCTCCATCCAGTTTGAGTCATCAGAGGTCTGACTAGTAGTTTGCCATTTTAGACCAGCCTATGCGTGTTATGTAACACACAATAAATACTGACCTACTTTTCAGATCTAAACTTATCATAATTGTAGCAGAAAAAGCAATCTTACTTTTGCATTTGCAGTGTCAAATATGGTTTCAACCAATAAAACATCCACACCACCAGCCAAAAGCCCTCGGATTTGTTCACTATATGCATCTTTAAGGGCATCAAAAGCTGTAAAATAATGAAAAGGAAAATACAAGTTAAAATATTTCCTGATACAAGAATGAAATTCCAGGATTGTTAGGTTCAATAATTCAATTTCCTGACACAAATTCTATTGAATATATTTGGACCACTTTCAATTAGAAAATAAAGAAAATTATCTACAAAGAAATATTTACTTCCTTCAATGCAGCATCATCAGATATCTCACAAGATTGTAGGCCTTCGAAATCTATCTGCTGAAAGAATGTGCTTTAAAATCTGCTTATATCAACTCAACCAAGTTTTAAAATAATGTTGAATTACTTCAGTCATTAAACAGAGGCTCTTGAAATTAATGGCATCTTTCCAGTCTGTTCATATCTTCATATATATGATAAAACATAAAAACATTTAGTTTTAATAGTCATAAGATATGAAAGGTTAAAATCAGTTAAAATTTTATCATATGCAATTAGAATAACTGATAATTTATTTTATTTTCCTTTTTTTAATAGAATGAATTCATTAATTTTATATTGAAGGAACACAATAAACTGTTAAATAGAAATAAATGTAAATTTTTTAACAAGTACAAAAGCAATTAAACTTACTGATATTTCTATATTCAGGTTTCTCAACAGAAGGTGACAAAGATAATGTACGATTTGTAGGTCCAACTGCACCTGCTACATATTTGTGAAGGCCTAAAATAACAGGAAAAAAATTTGTTTTTTTTTTTTAATATTTTTACAGTAAAATTAAATCATCTTGCAATTTATGTTATTAAAAAAATGTGAACCTATTTCAGACCAAACTGTCTTTAACCACTTTGACACAGATGATAACCAGGGCTTCTCAGGTCATTCATCATTATTTGCCTGTAGTCAAAATTATCAAGCCAAATGAGATTCTTTAGCAAAATCATTTCTTTAGCTACTGCACCAGGGCTACATACAGTTTTGAATTCAGAGTTACTTTCTCTTTGACGAGTTGCCACCTAAAGCTATAGAACCCAGTCTGTCCTACTATTTACCCATAGCTAAGGGGAGAAGAAGAAGATTTATACCTTTCTCACGAGTATTAGCATGTAAGTGAATGTAATGGATCCAGCTTGAATATGAACTTGAAATTTGGCTCTCCAATTCCTTAATCCGAGTCACTATCCATTAGTCTACTATGCCTCACCATATCACATGATTGAATCATCCTCAATTCCTTTGTATTCCATTGGTAATGAAGAAGTTTCACTTAACTTCTTCCTCCGAACTGTTACTTTGTGAAACAGACTGCTGAGAAGATGCTTTCCTGATGCTTTTATGCTCTTACAACAACCTCATTCAATAACCCTCTATCTTGAATGTCTCTTAGGCCTTATACTGGTTGAACCATAGTATTAAAAAAAATCTGATGAGAAATTTCTTTGTACCTGAAACACTTGACAAGATATAAGAAATTTCTTTGTTCTTGGATCGATTGATGAGATTTTTCATGAGAAATTTATTTGTTGTTGAGTGTTCTCTTTGACAGTGATTTGCATTGTGTTTCCAGATAAAGTCAGTCATGATTTGCATTGTGTTTCCAGATAAAGTCAGTCATAAATGATGAGAAAGACAATGAAAACAATGATTATTCTGGAGCAGCAGATGTGATATTTTCATCAATATAAGATCATACAAAAATATTCAGTGGTTAATAATAAGATATCTTATTTTAAGGTATTCCTATAAATTTTATAATTTACATGTATATGTTATATATATTCTATTTAATAACTGTATATTTAAAGCATCTAAAATAAAGAGATATACAGCGACATGATCAAATATTCGACACAGGATTTTTAAAGAAAATTCCATTACTACTTCAAACTTGAGCTCAATCTAGAAAATATTTAGAATATTCTATATATAATAAATTCATTGACAAATACAAAATAAATAAAATGCCAAAGTTTTGGACATTTCCCAAAAATATAAATGAAGCCAGATAAAAATTGCAGTTTATTTAAATTATTAGTCTGTAAATTTCTGCCAACCAATCTGAGCATGCCAAGCATTATGCCCAATATATCTATATATAAACTTTGATGATTCATTGAAGATTTACATATCATTGAAAGGAACATAGTGTGATGTAGTGCAAAATACAGAAAACGCTTTATCTTGAAAATCTCTCAAACTACAAAGAATTTGTATTTTTCAGCAAAATAAAAGCAAACTGTATGGAAACTCAGAAAATTGTTTTAGGTGAAGAAAATAAGGTTTTAGAGCAGGAGTCCTATGAGTTGTTCAACATTTATTTTCTACAGAAAATATGTTTGTTTGTTTGTTTTGTTTTACGGCATATCAACCTCAATAGGTCATTTAATGCTGACAACTTTTTTTTTTTCCTGGTAATATTTTTTTTCAAAAACGTACAGATGGCAATATTTTTTTTTCAAAAACATATTATCAGAGACCTTACTGTTGGACATAGTTTATCATCTTACCCAGGATGTGGATGTAGTTTATTGTCATACTCAGGACACACAGAAAATATGGCTGAAGAGCTTAAATTTTGAGTTCATTAGATGAATCCCCAAAACTTGATTGATCTTAAAGGCAATTTGTCAGAAATTGAGATAAAAATGGTGTTAAATTCTGCAATAATTTAACTTAAATTATTCCAAGTATTTTACAGCCATCATATCAAATACTGAGCATAGTATTAATATTGAATACTGTTTATCAATAAGCGTCCAATACTTTTACATGTTAATTTCTGTTGTATTTATCAATAAATTTATTTCATAAGTAAATATTTCTTTATTTCTCCTCATACATAATATATCCTAAGTAATGCTAACTATTCACCCAATGAATACTGAATATTTTCTGATATGGAAATGGCTAATCTCAGCATTAACATATTCAGCTGAAGTTTTGGGCTAGTAGCAATATTTGAAATTATTATTTATTACAAAAATTCTGTTCAATAATTTTGGGTGACATTGTATGAATTGTTTCAAGAGCCCATACACAAGCACTATGTCAATATTAAATAAATGATTTAAGCACTGTTCACCCAATACAAGGTCCAAGAGCCACTCATGGTAGAGTGTTACTGAAGGAAGTTGTATGGGCAGTAAGAATAAGAGGTAAGAAGTGTATTTTATGTAAGTATAAGAGGTAAGAAGTGTATTCTATGAGGATATATGGGAAAGATAATGGTTAACTCTAAACATGAAGCAATTGAGATTGTTGTGGTTGAGAAAGCATCCTTTTGGGAGTCTGAGTGTAGAAGTGGTATTTGCATTTAACTAGTTCATCAGTAAAATGGTGAGACCTAATTGCCAATCTAGTAGCATGCTTAAATTCATGTAGTTTGGGCACCAGGAAAAAAGTTCATCCAAGCAGTTGTCATGAAAAAGTGGAGCAAAGGAAATTTCCATGGAAATAGCAATATAGTAGCAAGAGGCTAGCATTTCATCTGTAGGAAAGGGGTTTGTAGGATGGAACACAATTCATCATCCACAAGGCCATTTCAATGCTTTTGAAGCCTATCAAGGCTGGAAAGTGAGGACTAGGAAGAAGCAGCCCAGACATGGCAACAGTGTTTCATTTTTGATCTGATCTGGCTCATGTAAAGATAGAGCATGGCAGGAGGAGTCTTACTTACTGAAGCAGTACAAAGAGCCAACCATTTTTTTTCAGTATCTTTAGTAATGGATCATATATATAAGATCCACTTGAAGTCTTGGGTGAACTTAAGTCCCAATAGGTATTCAAGGCCTCCTTAAGAGAACAACCATTCATCATGATAGGCAGAAATTTAGGGTCTGCTAGGTGATGATGGAACATAACAAGTTTAGCTTTTGAGGTATTAGAGCTCAGCCAGAGAAGACATCAGTTGACAGGCTCTGGTCATCTAGAATTTTGGAGGTGCACCAATGTACGACTGTATCATGTGCATTAAAGATCAGAGTAGGCAATTAGGCATTTTTGTACACCTTAAAAATCCCATCAAAACTTTTTAGCTTATCAGAATCTCAAAAGCTCTTACCATCTCAATTTTAATCAAGATGATACTAACAAGTAACACACATACAGTCGTAGTTTTAAATGTACAGATTTATGTCTTTTTCTATTAAATCCAATCATTTGATAAAAATAGGTTTTATATATCCAATTTAGTTTATATTTGAGGTATCAACAAATTTTACAAACATATTAAAAGATCAATTATTATAAATATGGTTGTCTTTAAATTGCTGAGGTTTAGATAAGCTCATTTGAAACATCTTTTTTTTTATTTATCAAGACAAGTCAATGTATCAACTTTTTTAATTAACTCACAAAACACACACTTTAAATAGAATATACAATGACATCTAAACAGAAACATCTGAACAGATTTTTTAGTAGTTTGATATTGGGATATTCTATAAGCATAAAAAAGTTCTAGAAAATTTTTCAGAAAACAGTGTCACTGTAATAATAACTTGATTATTTTTTTATATTATACAATTGTTCCTTCTTACAATTGACATTATATTCTGTCTTAATTAGAAACATCAAAATCAAACAAGTTCAGAAAAGTTGGAAGTGTTTTAACAGACAATGGAAAATGGAACACAGAAATCCCTAAATACATTGGAATAGCAAAATATGCCTTCAAAAAGCTAAGCAACATATTCAGAAACAGAAAGATTTCATTAGAAACAAAGATAAAAGTGCTGAACTGCTATGTAATATCAATCTTATATGGTAGTAAATAATCTATTCACAGATGAAGAGAAGACTTGAAGCAACAGAAATGTTTTTCTACAGAAGGATGCTGAGAATATCATAGAGGGAGCATGTTAACAACAATGATGTTTTGAGGAAAATGGAAACAAAAGAGGCACTTGTACTTAGAATCAGAAAGAGATAGTTGAAATTTATCAGGCACATAATGAGAAAAGAGGACTTGGAGAATTTTACACTCACAAGAGATATTGAATGGCCATAGAGACATAAGGAAAAAGTTAGTAACCTACCTAATAAGCTTGTGTAAATGGATGGCAAAATATGGATTGAGCAGGATAGTAAGATGACAAATATTGCTTAGGAATTTGTAGAGAGACATGATCGCCCACATCTTGAAGGGACAAGGTATATAAAAGGTGATGACTGTCCTTTTGAGATGTGGCTGATAATGCTAACTAAAATTAATTTGTAACAAACACTAATCAAAAAAAATTATAACAATGACACTGTGTACACAATCTTATCCTCTACTCATATTTTGTTGATAAAAGAATGTTTATTATGGTAATTATGATAAATAGAAAAGCCATTAAGTTCATACAACAAAGATTGAAATAAAACTTTCACCAGAAAGAAATAATTACTTACCTGTGGCCATAAAAACATCATCTGCTGCCTGCCTGGCTAATTTAGCAGACTCAAAATTCATTTTATATACCTGAAAATAAAAATTGTTTAAGTTTGTTTATTTTACTAAGACATTTACTTCATACACATCTGGTATTTAATATAAGACAAACTTACTTCCTGACTTAAAAACTGCAAGAATATTCTTAACATTATACAAATAAAAGGATAAGGAAAAATTTAGTAAGACAAATATCTGACATGTTTAAAAATGGTCTTATATAAGGATATGCAAGTAGTGTAATGGTTATGTGTTTAGAAAGTGAAATCACTGAACTGTGTTCAAATTCTGGTTGATTCTGTTTCGTTCACTTCACTTTGGAAAAGGTCATATATTCATCTTCCTTGATCTATAGGTTAAATAGCCTTGGATGTCAACCAGTCTAAGAGAAGGATAACTGAATTCAAAATTAAACTGGAAAGGGATAGGATCAGTTAGGCTATCTTGTCCAAGACACACCCACTGCCACTACAGTAACAGCATGTGAGGGGCACTACAGGTGATGGGAGTAATTACAAGTAAATCTAAATTTTTAATAAGTGTCAAATAAGTATCAGATAAGAGTGGCATGCAAAGAAAGAAAAGAAAGGAGGGAGTGAGTATTACAATTTGAGAGCACTGACATAGGATACATATTCATTGTTTTATGTAAAGTCTAGTATTGATGTCTATAATTGATTGATTTGTTTAACAGCATATCAACTACTTATGAGTCATTTAATGCTGAAATTTCATTTTCTTCGGAGCTTGGAAGTAATAAAAATATATGTTATTCTGCTTTCACAATTGAATACATGGTATATGATACTCAGCTTTTCTGTATATACATGTTTGTATGGAAACAATTACTAGAGGCAGTGATGTGTGTGTTTTAATTTGTAGTTTTGTTGAAGTTATATTTTGGAATACAGTTTGATTTCTTTAAAGAATTGTAGGATATTATATGGATTAATGTCATGAAAGTTCTTTCAGGCTGGTTGTTTGATTTTGTTTAGCAGCATATCAACCTCTATGGGTTATTTAATTCTAAAATCTAAATAATTTGAACACAATTGTATGCCTTCAACTCCAGATAAAATGTATTGTTGGTTAATTTATTATATGTATTCTTGGTATTTTTACTACAAAAATGTATTTTTATACTTTCATAGTGTTTTGTTTTATTTAGGGTAGTTCACTATTTGCCCATAACTGGGATCCTAACAGGTGCTCCCACCGTGGGTCAGGGTGGACATGGAAACAACATCAATTAAGAGGGAGTTTCACAATCCTTAAAACTTCCAATCTCCTGATCAGAGGCATTACTACTGGATATAGTTTATCATCTGTCTATATTTCTGAGATGAGGTATTATGTACACTATTTACATTATTTGGACTATTGTCCTCATCTTTGTCGCCATATTTATTACAACATTTCGGCCTTTCAGTATCTGTCTATATTTCTGAGATGAGGTATTATGTACACTATTTACATTATTTCGACTATTGTCCTCATCTTTGTCGGCATATTTGCTACAACGTTTTGGCTATCTGTCTTTCTGAGATGAGGTATTATGTACACTATTTACATTATTCGAACTATTGTCCTCATCTTTGTCGCCATATTTATTACAACATTTCGGCCTTTCAGTATCTGTCTATATTTCTGAGATGAGATATTATGTACACTATTTACATTATTTCGACTATTGTCCTCATCTTTGTCGCCATATTTATTACAACATTTCGGCCTTTCAGTATCTGTCTATATGTCTGAGATGAGGTATTATGTAGACTATTTACATTATTTCGACTATTGTCCTCATCTTTGTCGCCATATTTATTACAACATTTCGGCCTTTCAGTATCTGTCTATATTTCTGAGATGAGGTATTATGTACACTATTTACATTATTTCGACTATTGTCCTCATCTTTGTCGCCATATTTATTACAACATTTCGGCCTTTCAGTATCTGTCTATATTTCTGAGATGAGGTATTATGTACACTATTTACATTATTTCGACTATTGTCCTCATCTTTGTCGGCATATTTGCTACAACATTTTGGCGCTTCAGTATCTGTCTTTCTGAGATGAGGTATTATGTACACTATTTACATTATTCGAACTATTGTCCTCATCTTTGTCGCCATATTTATTACAACGTTTCGGTCGTTGTACGCTCTGGCTTTCTTCAGGTGGTTGGAATGTCAAACAGAACCCTTTTTTTTGCTCACTGGGGTAGACTGTTCTAGTCCCATGTGCCATGTTTAATAGATGTCATTTATCAGTTATCTCCTGTTAATTCCCCTCTCCAAGTTCTCCACTGTCTTAACCGGGTAACCTTAACTTAACCTTAACTTGAAGACACATGGCACTGTGGATAAAGACGTTGGTTAGATTCAGTGACAATACCTCATCTCATAGACAGAGACTGAAGAAGGCCGGAGCATACAATGGCCAAAGCATTGTAATAAATATGGCGACAAAGATGAAGACAATAGTCCAAATAATGTAAATAGTGTACATAATACCTCATCTCAGAAATATAGACAGATACTGAAGAAGGCTGAAGTGTATAATGGCCGAAATGTTGTAATAAATAAGGCAACAAAGATAAGGACAATAGTCCGAATAATGTAAATAGTATAGTTTATCATCATACCCAGGATTGGCAGTCTATAATCAAGTAAGTGTTTACACAGAGACTGATATACTGATCATCATTTTTTTTTTACTGAGAGACTATTTATAGTCTCCACTCTAATATTTATGCTAGCATATGGACTATAGCAGGCTAAAACTCTAAAATATTAATACACTGAAAAGTAAAATAGTTTTGAGTCATTATCAATATCTATCTGTCAATATTGTTGAATCTGTTGAAGTTGTGACACCAGTCATTAGGATATGCTCTCTGCATGAGGATGCACAATGAAGAGTTAGTCTGTGGTAAAAGACAGACACCAACCAAAAACTGCTTCAACAATTTCATCAAAACCAACCTTTAGTGATGTTAGCTCAAAGTTGAGTCAATATGCCAGTATTCATTCACACTGCTATGCCATAATTCATGAAGCTTCTGCAAATTTTGAGAAAGCTTGATGTCAAATATTCATCACTGCAGGAGACCAACACCATAGAGCAAAACATGCACCTGTGTTAGATCTGCATCAAAATTAATTACATTTAAATTGGCAGCATGAGGCAGGACACCCCTGCTGGTTAAAAATGGTTCAGTCCTGGAGCTGTATTTAAGCTCTGCCAATTTCCCCTTTGTCAGTTTTTGTATCAGGTGCCTGGTCAAAGCCTTTACACTTTGAACACTGTTCCTATTCCCTTCTTTTGGATTTGTTAGTATAAACTACAAGAAAACAGAATGCATAATCATCAGCAAAAGGGGGAGCCCAAAATGCAAATTACAAATTGGGGATAGTAAAATCAAACAAGTACAGAAATTTAAATATCTGGGAAGTGTTCTAACAGACGAAGGGAAAGTGCGACACTGAAGATATATTGGGATGGCCAAAAATTCAGTCCAAAAGCTAAGTAGAGTATTAAGAGACAGAAAAACAGAGTACTAAACTGTTACATGATATCTGTCCTACTGTATGGTAGTGAATGCAGGACAATGTCCTCATAGATGAAGAAGAGACTTGAAACAACAGAAACATAGTTCTACAGAAAGATGCTGAGGATTCTATGGAACAAACATGTGAACAAAAACAAGGTTTTGGAGAAAATGAAAACAAAAAAGGAAACTTATACTTAACATCAGGAAGAGGCAGTTAAAATTCCTGGAGTATGTAGTGAGGAAAGGCAGCTTGGAAAACCTGATACTCACAGGACATATTGATGGAAAAGACGGACAGAGGAAAACAGCATGTAACATACTTGATGAGCTTGAGTAAATGGATGGTAGAGGAGGGTTTGGGAGAAATAACAAAAAGACAAAACTTATTAAGAGTTACAAGGGACAGGAAGATGTGGAGGGCCATTATTGCCGATGTCCTGAAGGGACATGGCACATAAAAGATCTATTCTTTCACTTGGTGCTAGTAATATTCTAGATTTTGCACCCTGAAGTCAGGTTGTGGAATAAGCAGAGTATTCACAGATGAATACACAAGTCAGGGTCGAAGGTTAGCTTCACTTGGCTGATAAAAGGTTTTGGCTCTTTTAGTTTTATCGGAAGATCTAAGACAAGATTTTTTTCATAATTCCTTACATCAGATTAGTATCAGTTGTTTTTATCTTGAATGTTTTGGATAATGAAAGCTAAAGAAAATATTGACCAAAGAGCTATCATAAAAATAATAAGGACGAAAATACAAAACCAGAAACAAATATGTAAAATAAAAAACAATTACTGTCAAGTAATATTTATTTCAATTTCAGAAAATTACAATCAAAACAAGGAAGTTTCAAAGAAAATATTGAAGAATAATATTGCTTTACACTTTTTTTATTTACACTGCCTGACATTGATCATGGAAGAATTCCATTCAGTAGAATAAACCAATAGAATAAACTCTGATCCCAGATCATTAGACATGAAATATTGCACAATAATATTGATTCATGAAAGTCACTTCAAAGATTAACTTGTTTTGTGTACAGAACAGCGTGTCATGATTATCGATTCTATTAAATTGCTTTTCTATCTTCTTTGCAATCAAGTTGTCAGACAAGCTTTGATGAGGATATATAAGCTACAATTTGACACAAGATCAATATATTTTTCTCACTCTTCTGTAAACAAGAGATAGGCTAGACTTTTGAGTTTGGACTTGCATTTGTTCTTTTTTTTTTTTTTTACTCAAACTCTGTATATTTTCTAATTATTTTTCTAATATAACAACATCAAATATACATTGTTATTATGAAGAGCCCTCAAGAGTTGACAGTCAAAACAGTAAGCAATTTCAGTTATATTTCCAAGTGAGAGCCTACAAGTAAACTTCTCTGGGTCGATAAAATTCAGTGTTATATATTCATCCAAGAGAAGAATTGCTCTTTCTTTAGATCAAATTTTTATTATAAAATC